TTCATTACGAAAATATAAGAAAATAAACGAAGTAGATTATTGGTTAGTATTGTTTAAAAGCCAATAAACATTTTTATGTCTTACTAACCTATAATAGCACATTTTATATCTGTGATACGCGAGCATAAAGTACTACTTTATGCCCTAGGGCATTAAGTATCACCATACTCATATATATAATGACAAAACAAACAAATATTTGCAGGTCATTGAAAATTAAAAACGTCAATTATTAATTGTCAATACCTACTAAATCACAAGATTGACCTTATTTCGTATAGTTTCTGGAACTTCTTGCTCATTCACGATGAATTGAATTATTTAAAATTACGTTTGACGTTTGGATGGTTTCAATCACATTAACAAATTCGAACCACGCATACTCGATCAAACATAATGAATTATTTTGTAAACGAATTTTGACGAAGAAAACTATTTGTAAAACATAAAATTGTGTATGTACCACGGGCATAAACTGATGTTTATACTCTCGGGCGACTAAAAAGCTCTCGGGCCATTTTATTTTACCATTGAATAAAATTTTTATGCAATGATTCTATAATAGTTATTTCGACTGGTTATATGTAGGATCTTGCTACACTATAAAAAATAGTTCGCACTTTGCCTTTACGGGTATGATGTGTTGCCTAAACATGTTGGAAACACTTTTATACGCGAGTGGCATTGTATGCGCGGTCTAACAAGTCTCCTGTATTGTTCGTAGTTGTATCGAACAGTTTTAGAGGCACTGTTTTCATGACGTCACACATCAAAAATGACGTGTTTACTCTACCGCCCCGTTAGCGTGCCGACAGTCACCGCGTATTTTTAATCGACCTACACCAAAAAGTGGTTTATTGTTTATGCCATTACTTTGGTCAAGGTAAAGTTCTACTTTTGTAGGACTCAAACGTTCTTATTGAGATAGTCATGGATGACAATATTACACATGTTAAAATTGAACCAAAACAAGAAGAAGAAATAAATTCATCCCTTGAGAGGAACATTCTTGTAAGCAATGGTTTATTGGAAAATATAAAGGAAGAACATAATGAGATACCGACACGAGCAGAGTATGGAGAAGAAATGCAGCAACAAGGTCATTCCTCCAGTATTAAATCAGAACCTGTGCAGCTTAAATGTAAAGTTTGTGATTACACGGCGAGTAATGACCAAAGTTTTAAAGTGCACCTTTTGATGCATCAGGAAATGAGCGAGTTTAAATGTGCAAACTGTGATTACGTAACAAATGTTAAACGGTATTTAAAAGTACATCTCTTTACACATAGAGTGTTGATACGGTTAAAGTGTGCAAATTGCAATTATGCAACAAATACGAAGAATAAATTGAAGAAACATCTTTTAATACACAATGATTCAAAAGATTTTAATTGTGACATTTGCGATTATGTAACAAATACTAAGGAAAAATTGAGGTATCATGTTTTAAAACACAGTGGTTCAAAAGCTTATAAATGCAACAATTGTGATTATGTGACAAATATTAACAGATGTTTTAGGTCACATGTCTTAACACACAATGTTTTAAAAGATATTAAATGTGACATTTGTGATTATGTAACAAATACGAAGAGATACTTGAAGGATCACTTGCGAAAACACAATTCAAAAGATTTTAAATGTGATATTTGCGATTATGAAACAAATACTAAGAGATACTTGAAGGATCATTTGCTAAAACACAATGTTTCAAAAGTTTTTAAATGTGACGTTTGTGATTATGCCACGAATATGAAACACCATTTTAAGTCGCATACCTTAAAACACAATAATTCAAAAGATTTTAAATGTGATATTTGTAATTATGCAGCAAATAGTAACAGGAATTTGAAGAATCACTTGCTAAAACACAATGTTTCGGAAGTGTTTAAATGTGACGTTTGCGATTATATAACGAATGTTAAGAGGTATTTGAACGATCATTTGCGAAAACACGATTATTCAAAAGATTTTAAATGTGATTTCTGTGATTATGCAACAAATACTAAGAAGAATTTGAGGAGTCATTTGCTAAAACACAATAGATCTAAACGTTTATGATTATCGAGCCATTTGTCACGACATTCCTTAGGACACAACAGTGATTTTTCCTGATATCAAAGAATAGTGATTTTTATAAAGAATTTAATACCTTCTCTGAACTGTAATTGAATGTCATGCCACTTCTAATTAGGTTAATTTGTAATGGTGATCTGCTATTGGAATGATAAATTTGATGTTTAAAGTGCTCTGCCCTCCGTTGCAATGTTTAGTGAGCGAGTTCATCATTCGTTTCGTTAGGGTGAGTGTTTCCATCAGTTTGACTGGGCCTTTTAAGTTTGAAAAACAGATTGGGTAGTGAAAACCGGAAAATTACTGACTATAGATAACCATGGTATGTTAAAAATGATGGTGTTGAGTTGATAGGTTTTTTATTTTAGGTATAAACCGAGTATAGAACTAATGTAGACACTTCAATTTTTGTCACATTAAAAAAACATTTGATTCCTATATTTCTTTCTATTAGCAATTATGGGTTGGAACCATATAAAATATAGGTTCCGGTTCCCCCCGCCACTATTTAGGTACAATCATTTTTGAAGGGTTTCGGTTCTGTGGCTTCAATAATTTTCAGTTCCGGTTCTAGTTCCAAAAAATCATTGTTGAAAAATTAAACATTGTTTTTTTTCGGTTTTTAAGGGTTCCAACCTCGGTTTCAACATAATAATGTAATTGTTATTAAAAAATTTAAATTATTAATTATAGAAAATAAATAATACACACAATACAAGTACATTGTTCTTTTGCTTTGCATAAGCATATTTTTTAAGTTTGATTGACATTTAAATTTTTAGCTTACCGTTCGTTTCACCTCTGTCAACTTCCTGTCTTTTTCTACTTTCCTTTTCTTCAACAGCAGTTTCAACTATTGCTTCCCTTATACGCTCTTCAACCTTCTTTACTGTTTTTGATTCATTTCATTTTATAGGTATTTTACTTCCGTCCGTGCTTTTTTTAGATGACGCAGGCAGCTTTTTCCCACCTAGAAATTGCATGGTTGCCAACTCTCAAAACTTGTATCGTCGTAAGTTGCATATACAGGATGGAACCTCTCAATATCTACAATAGACAAAAATTAACAATCCGAGAAATTAACTCTTGCATTTGAATAGTTTAAAACTGACTCCACTTCGTTCCTATTTGTGAAAGAAACACATTTCGAAGTCTTTTACATGAAGTACATTATTAATTAGCCCGACCTTCTCTAGTCCCAGAAGATATCTGAAGGTCCTGGATACGGTAACCTTAGACTAAAGTTGTATTTCGAGATGAATTCCGATAAATACTCTCAAAACTCCCGTTTAAAAAACGGTTTTAAAACGCTTTGATAGGATAAATTCGGTATTGGTAGTATGGTATACGTTTTTGAGTAGACGAATTTTATACCTGTAAGCAATATGAATGCTGGAGGACGGCGTGATCTCATCGGCGGCTCCGGTGTTCTTGCTGATGTAGCAAGAGTGATCTGGGGAAAGGATGGAATACGCACAACCCAACGTATTGTAGAGCAGTTGGAGTTAGACTTCATTATTTTATGAACTGTATTAGTTTGAATTTCTTATTTCTCATTCTTATTAATAAAATACTTATATACCTACGTTTAAAATACAATTTTTAATCATATTTATAAACCGCAGAGTTCACCTTCTACGTTGATAATACGTATATAAATAACCGTTTTTTAGCATTCGTCTGATAAACGTATATAAGACCACAGTTATACCAAATGGATGCATAAATTAAACTGACGCTAAATTTGTGAAAAAATAACCTTCTGAAGTCCCTTTTACATAAAGTACATGAAATACATTGTTAATTAGCCGGACCTCCTCCAGTCCAGAAGGTATCTGAAGGTTTTGAATACGGTAACGCATTCAACTTTCGATAGTCAACTCAAAAACAATGTGCTGTCTTTTTTTGGCTATAAGATAAGTAGGAGAAGCCTAACGACTTTTAGAAGGCGCAATACTTCCAGATTTTCGTCGTCATTATCGAGATTCCCCCATAGTTTTCCATACAGTCCCAGTCACCTCTTTTAAAAATCGGAACTACCACTCCTTCCTCCCATTTTTCCGGTTGTCCCCCTCCTCTCCATATCTTGTTTATTCGTTTCCTCAGGCTTAATGCTATTTGTAACGAAAATCCATGCCCATCCATTCTTATTTCGTACTTCTGTGTCGCCTGTCCTTTTTTAATAATAATAATAATAGAGTTTATTGTCCTACAGACTTTCTTCAGTCTCTTTAAATATTGCTCCATATTTTTTTTTACTTTCTCTTTTCCCGCTTCCAATTCTCTCTGTTATTTTTCTTCATCTTTATTTTCTGACATGTTCCCTTTTTTTCTGTTTATTGACCTCCCTTCTCCCCTATCTCGCCCTTTCTTTCTCTCTCCATCATTGCTCGGTATCTGTTTCTCTCTTCTGTACACTCTCTGACCCACCATTCCTCTTCCTTTACCTTATTCCATGTTATTATACTCTCCTTTATATTTTTCCACTCCTGTGTGCTTTCTGCTATCTCACATACTTGCTCGTTAGTCTCTTTATCATAGCTGTATCTCCCTTCGTCTTTGATTCTTTCTATCTTCCCTGTTATTTCCATCAGTTGGGGATACGATTCTGTCATTGTTCTTACCTTAAAATCCCCGATTTGCGTTCACTAGTATCTAATCAATTACCGACCTCCCTTTCACTCTCATATGTATGTATATTCCCCATCCCTATCTCTCCAATTCCAATCCGGCCAATTAAGTAAGTGCAATTAACAGTAGCTAAATAAATGTGTTGCATTGAATGTTATCAAAATCAGTCGTGTGCGGTGGCCTTGGAGGCGCTCTAATTTTTTCAAACGTTGTCCCCGATGTTTATGATAACGAGCAACCTATAATGAACAATAAAAAAACGAAGGATAAATTAAAATTTTTGGTCGTAGATACTTATATTATTATTAAGAGCAAATATAATAATAAAAATAAACAATATTTTTACACGTTTGCCTCATGTTAACAATTGTCTAAACAATAAAACGTTAAGCTACAAATTTGATTCAAATACTGTAAAATTTCTGTATTGTCAAAAATACGCTATTATATAACAATTTTAAAAAATAATTAGTTTACAGACGTCATTAACTCATCTCCCTCCGTTTTTTTTTCAATTAAGAACAGCCATCTTCTTAGTTAAAGCTAAATTTAAGCAAGTGACGAAGCAGGTAGTATACGAGATAAGAATGCAAAACACCTACTTACATTATCTATGTATTTTGTTCCTTATAACCTAAAAATGCATCCCACTTAAAAATACGTCGACCCGCCTCTTCTGCTTAGACACACGTACGTTTACAATAATTCATTTAAAAAATCAGTGCGTAGTAGTAGTACCTTAAAATTTAAATAAATTACAATTCCATTTCATTAAAACACACAATTATAGTCAGTATCAGTGTGACTCTTTTTTAACACTTAACAACACTAATTTAGGCATTTGGAAATTAAGAAACTCTATTTGTGCTTAGCTGCAAAAGCCTTTAAAGACGAATTTATAGTTTTTTGTACCAGAACAAGTAGTGATCGCCCTCTTCAATTAGCAGACCGTCGACGCCTGAAACAAAAATTAATCTAAAATTGTGTCAAAGTCACCAGGTTTGTTGTCAACCCGTATCGTTTTACAAAAGAACCACAACACCAGTCATCCAAAATGGTTCCAGTTAGCAGGTAAAGAACACACACAGATATATATATATATATATATATATATATATATATATATACAGTTTCTGGAAGGTGCGGGTATATAGGCATTGGGGTAGAAATCAAATTGTGTGAAACCTTCGCGGTATCTTCATAATGGCTAAAAACAATGAACTTACCTACAGGTGCCACCAGGTGGTTACCAGGTGGCGCTTGCGGATCCGGTATTTCAGGCAGACGATATAAGAGCCAATAGTGATATCCCATAGGTTCCTCTTTGTACCCGGCGATCGAATGGACGTAGTGTCCGTTCGGCCATTCGGACGCTTCGAATGTGTAGTGCGGATCTAGGTCCATTGCCATCACCATCACGTTGTAGAATGACGTGTTGCGTGGTGCGATCAGCGCCATCGTGTAGTTTTCGGTTACGTTCGTGCCGACCCACAGCGTGTATGTGATGGAGACGTTGCGAATTTCCGAGTCGTTGCCGTGTTTCGACTGGAGGTTCGTTAGGCCATCGAGATCGACTGAAAAGTGGGTACAGTGGGGGTGACAGTGAGAGGTGGGTACGAACCGTGGTTCTCGAGGTCCGGGGATGATTTGCCGCAGTTTAGCGTGCGTATGGCGCCTAGGCCTTTGCCTTGCAGTGAAAGGACGACGTTCGCCGTTAGGCCGGGATCTGTGAAAGCGCCGTCGGGATCTTGTCTGGACTCGATGTAGTACTTGGCACCCGTTTCGTTCCAGTGCGCGCTTGCGTCAGTGATATCTTGTAGAGCCTAAAAGACGAAGTGAAAGAGGAACTTCTTTTGGGTGAGTAAAGGTGACTTACTTGAATAACGAGGGCGGTGTTGTATAGGTTTCCGAAGCCACCGTCGGGTTGCTGCTCGCGTGCTAAGTTTATCGTGGGTCTTCGAAGGGAGTGCTGCAAGTTACGATGTCTGTGATCTTTGCTGATACATCTCAGTGCGAGAATCACCATGGCAACCGTATCTGGAAGTACAGTATCGGTTAGAAATAAATCATCGAGAGAATGGACTGAAAATAAAACTACAGACGTAATTCTTCGCCCGCTTATAGTGCCCCATTGTGCACAGATAACATTTCCTAATGACATTGACGCTTTACCGTCCGAATATAACTACATTTTTGAGAAAGCGGACTTTAACTTCCAGTCAAAGCCGCCATTCATTTTTCAAGACCCAGGATTTTCTTTTCGGTACTTCAAGTTTGAAACACCTCCAATAGCTCCACTACACTGCTGTATTACATTTACTGTACCGGGTGACCTAATAAGACTGTTCCTCTGCCATATTTCGGGAACCGTTCGTCGTATGACTTAGGGGTAAAAAAAAATTATTGGGTAACTCAGTTATAAAGAATCGCTGTTTTCAAGTTTTAAAAATGACCACCAGAGGGCGTAACTGCCATCTTAAACTTTAAAATTGCATATTTTTTTAATTTCGCATAATAAACATTCTTTGTTCACATTTTTAAAGAGAACCAGTTTATCTATCATTTTCGTAAAAACAAAAAGTCAGTTATTTCAAAAACAAAGATGGCGTAAGGCGTTCCTAAAAAGAAATCCAATGGAATGATATGACTTTTTCTTTATGAAAAAGTAGCTAAATAATACCCAAAGAGGCCAGTGAAAGCCGTTTTTCAAAATCTCGTTCCTAACCTCAAATATTGGGAAAATGAGATTAATTAAATAATTAATAAAAATGCTTAAATTGTATCTTATTTGACGTATTTCCGGTATTTGTCGATGGCGCGAAAGATTGTTCAATTGCTCAAAATATATCGCCAGCATATTAAATGCTTCTTGGTTAGAAATCGGCATTATAGAAAAGATTATAAATTCAAAAAACTGCACTTTCTGAATGTAAACACAGCAGAATAATTTACAAATGACGGCTGTTATTATTTTATAATGCATTGTGTTTCATTTGTTTAATTTTCCAAGGCCTACCTAAAAGTGTAGGTTGCTTTTCTTTTGCGCCATCGGCAAATACCGGAAATACGTCAAATAAGATACAATTTAAGCATTTTTAGTAATTAATTAGTTAATTAATCTCATTTTCCCAATATTTGAGGTTAGGAACGAGATTTTGAAAAACTGTTTGCACTGGCCTCTTTGGATGTTATTTGGCTATTTTTTCATAAAGAAAAACTCATCATTCCATTTGACTTTTTTGATTTTTTTAGGATTTTGGGTCTTGGTGTCAAAACTAGCCCCCTGGCGGAGAAGGATTCAACTAAATTAACTATATTTTGGTTGATTCTCATTGCCCAAGGCATGCTCTTTTCAACCATACAAATTTGTTAGAATCGGTCAATCCGCAGGTTATTACAAAAACAGTTGAACGCCCTACGCCATCTTTGTTTTTGAAATAACTGACTTTTTGTTTTTACGAAAATGTGAAAAAAGAATGTTTACTTTATTATGCGAAATTTAAAGCAAATGCAGTCTTAAAATTTAAGATGGCAGTTACGCCCTCTGTTGGTCATTTTCCGAACTTGAAAATCTTTTCCGGCGATTCTTCATGACCGATTTACCCAATAATTTTTTTTACCCCTAAGTCATATGACGAACGGTCCTCGAGATATGGCGGAGGAACAGTCTTATTGGGTCACCCGGTACAGAAAGCCATACTGCAAAATGGATCCAGAGAATATAGGAATACGACTTTCCATCGATCATAGAGCAGGGACAAGCCGTCGTACTGCTGATGCATTGTCAAGAAGACCATGACCGGTTGATTGTACGTATTGTAGTAGCGGAGAAGTAAAGGTGACACCTGTGTGTAGAACGACGTTGGTGGCCGGATTGGTGTCTGAACAAGAAACTGGGCCGGATTTGAAAACGATTATGGAGTCAAAGGCGGACGGCCAAGAGGCATTCTCCCAATATGATTGTGTGATAGGATTCCCCGGTGAAACAGAGAAAGAGAAACAGAAAAAGAGAAACGGAAAAAGAGAAACAGAGAAAAGGAAACAGAGAAAGAGAAACAGAGAAAGAGAAACAGAGTAAGAGAAACAGAGAAAGAGAAACACAGAAAGAGAAACAGAGAAAGAGAAACGGAGAAAGAGAAAAAAACAGATGTCCAGTAAAATCTCAAAATTGTGTCAAAAAATTTAAACATCGCGCCGTAAATAAACATTTCATATCAGCGACTAGGAAGATTTCAAGAGGATCACAAAGGAGTTTCGAAAAGATTTCAAGATTTCAAAAAATTTCGAAATAATTTCACGCTTTCATAAAGAGTTTGACGATTTTGAAAAAATCTCGATATTTCAAAGTTTTCAAAAAATTCAAAAAGATTTCTAAAGCATTTCATTGGGATTTTAAGACCAAGAAAAATTGAACATTTGAAAAACGTATCATTATTTCAAGATTTCAAAAGCATTTTAAGGAGCCTTCAAGAGAATTTTAAGAAAATTGCAAGAATACAAGCAGATGACACATACATTTCAAGAAAAGTTCAAGAGACTAACAAGAGAATTTCAAGAAGACATCGAAACCGATTTAAGGAAAGCTTCGAAAATTCAGTATGTCACGAAGCGTTCAAGAAAGTTCCAAAGAATTTTTAAAAAATCGAAAAATCTCGAGATTTAAAAACTATTTCTAGAAGTTGAAGGAAATTTAAGATTTCTAGAGGATTTTAAGAAAATGTCGAGAAAGTTTCAAGATTTCATTTTTGAAAAATCGAGATTTCAAAAAATGTCAAGATTTTAAAGTTTCCAAAAGAATGTAAATTTCAAGAGAATCTCAAAAAAATTTCAAGAAAGTTTATAGATTTCAAGATATCGGGAAGATTTCAAGCAGAATTTCAGATTTTAAACTTTTCAATTTTTCAAAAAGATTTCAATACAATTTAAAAAGATTGCAAAGTTACAACTAGATCACACGAAGATTTCAAGAAAATTTCATAAGAATAACAAGAATATTTCGAGATCAGTATTTTAACATTCAAGAAAATTTCAAACAGATATCTACGAGATCTAGATGAGAGATTTTAAGGGGATTTTAAGAAGATTTCAAGAATACCAGAAGATTACAAAAAGATTACAAAAAAATTGCAAAAGAATTTCAAAAGGATTTCGGGAAAATTTCAGGGATTTGAAAAATATTTCAAAAAAATTTGAAGATTACAAGATGATTACAAAAAATTTCAAGAGGAGTTCAAAAGGATTTCAGGAAATGTTCAGGACGATTCCAAGATTTGAAAATTAAAAAAAGATTCCACAATGCGTTTTCAAGAAGGTTGCAAGAGGATTACAGAACAATTTCAGAAAGATTTGAAGACAAAACAAGAAAACTAGGATTCCAAAAAGATTACTAACGAGTTTTAAGAAGATTTTAATATCTCAAGGAAATTTTAAAAAGGATTTGAAGGTTTCAAGAAGATTGCAAGAAGATGTCAGGATTTCAAGATTTCATGAAAATTTTAAAAGGATAACAAGAGGATTTCGAAACGATTTCTAGAAAATTTCGAGATTTCAAGAAGAGATCACGAAGATTTCAAGGAAATTTCTTTCAAATAGTTCACGGAAATTTGAAACATTTCAAGATTTTCTTTAGAACAGTAAAAATCATCAGATTTCCAGAGAATCTCAGGAAAGAGAATTCAATATTTCAAAAAGATTACATTGAGCTTTCAAGAAAAATTCCAGGGGAACTTCAAGTTGGCACATCTTGAGCCTTGTTTGTTTGTCTTTTAACAAAAAAACAAAAAAAAATTAGAGTGTTTAGGAACAATACCCTAATCTCAAACACTAAGACTTGCCATACTGAGAACTACAAGAGAGTCACGCTTTCTCCTGCCGAAAAAATAGATGTCCGGTAAAAACTCAAAATTGTATCAAAAAATTTAAAGATCACGCCGTAAATAAACATTTTATATCAGCGACTAGGAAGATTTCAAGAGGATCACAAAGGATTTTCGAAACAATTTAAAGAATTCAAAAATTTCGAGCAGAAGAACCGGGGCGGAAACGGAAATAAAAAAAAGAAACAGAGAAAGAGAAACAGAGATAGAGAAACAGAAAAAGAGAAACAGAGAAAGAGAAACACGGAAAGTGAAACAAAAACAGAAAGAGAGACAGAAATACAAGATATTTGTAAGTGTTTAAACATTCATAATACCCGAATTACGGCTCTAAACTACATCCTCGGTCCCACGGAATGGTGGAAAGGATGAATCGAACGATTAATCGTTGTTTGACAGAACGACAGAGGGACTCGGACCAGCACCTACTTCCATTTCTCCTAGCAGATTGATCCGCTGTACATGACCCAATGAAACAAAAACGCGTCTTGCAGTTGCAGGTGTGATTTTTGGTCGGGAACTAAGATTGCCATGCGATTTAAATTTTGGCAGCAAGCCCGGTGAAGACTTGGTAAGTAAAGATCAGGTCCTCAGGATGCCAGTGACAGGATGAAAGTTACGATGTGCGAGCTCAAAAAGGAGGGCACAATACCGATGATATGGTATGGTTGTACAATCCAAAGAGGCGAAAGGGTCTATCACCAAAACTGCAAAAGAACTGGGAGGGTTCATATAAGGTTGTGAAAGGGATCAACGACGTGGTGTACCGGATTGAGAAGATGTCCAATGGTAAGCCGAAAGTGGTGGATTAGTTTGCTGGAGACAACAACCAGCCAAGGGGGATGCGCATACCTACTGAGAAAAAACCAGATATGACATTTGAGCACTTCGAAGAGCGGTATGGCAACCACAGACGGGTCCGTTTTGGTGTGAACCAAGATTTGTTTACGTTGTCGACAGTTAGGCTGTGGATTTGATGGTCTCGAATGGCTATCCGTAATATGCTAGAGGTAATCTTACGCGCGACTGGTGCGGAAATACTGGTGTTCGATTATCCAAGACTAATGAACTGTTTCTTCCCTAAAAATGGATATTCCATGATCCTCGACCTGATATCTTGAGTTTTGTGACGAAACAAGTTCTAAGGAGGGGGCAATGTAACGGACAAGCGGTGACATTAGAAGAATTATGTTCTGTTTATAATGGTTCGAGCGTTACCGTTTCCAGTTCTAAACATAAATGATGATAAACCCTAAAATTTTGACACTTAAAGTATGTAATATAATTACCTTTGAATCTCATTTTTAACTATTAATTATTGTTGGAATTAATTTGGGTTATTTTAAATTTAAGTTACATTTATTACATGGTGCACCTCTATATTTTCCCGTAACGTGATCATGATCTCCGACTTTTATCAAAATTTTACTCCACACTTATGCCAGTGACTAGGATTATTGTGTATTTCAGTCTCATTACAAATCATTAACAAGTTAATTCGTCATTTCACCACCAATCGCCAATAAACGAAACATACTCACCGATATTGTGATCCTTTGCGGCGTTCGCAATGTCCAAAAGTCGCCTAATTTGCTTCTTGCGTAGGTGGGCGTTCGCGCTGCAGGCCGTCAGTGTCGTAAAGGCGAAATCCAGGTCGTGGACGATCTCGTGATGTTGCATCGTTCCGATCAGATCGTGACCGTGAAACTGTCTCGGATCCTGACACAAGGTGCTTAGGGCCAAAGCGTACTGGGTTAACTTAGGAGGCACGATCGGTATTTCGTTATGTCTGAAAGAGCTGTTCAAGTCTAGGGGTGCGACCGAAATCGATTTATACCTCCACAATAGGGTGACGATTTCGATTTCCATCTGCTTGGCGGACAGTTGCATCTCGAGCGCGTTGGGAAGGATCGAATTTGAATCTCTGGTTTGCTTCGCCAATTGGAGCGCCATTAAAACGGCGGGCGTCTCGTTCCTCCAGCCCCAGTCGCTTTCCCTCTGCGACACGAGCCACGATAATGCTTTTTGTACGCTACCCTCGAAATCGATATTTTGCGTTGTGCTTGGAATTGCCGATGATGTATCCGTCGTAACTGAAACATTTGGCTTAAGGTTGGATAAAGAGAAATCCCTTGCCCCACCTCGCGTCGGCCACCAGCTGGTGTGCGTTTCCTCATCTGGAATCTCCTCCGTGTGTGCTACTGCGATATACGCCAATGCTAACCATATTAGTATTCCGTTCGCCATTTTTCTATGACACGAAGTGGAAAGCGAGATGTATCATCCAAAAAACATGGAAATGCGTTTTACTACGATGACGACCTGAAAATGTTAGCCGTTAAATAAAGTGGGATCTTGCGGTGTCGCGTTCGCCTGCTTATTAAATTAGATAAGAAAGTTCGGGACACCGAAACTTTACGGTTATTAAAGAACTTTCTCGACATAAATTAGCACTTTCCGTCGATAACAAAAGCAGAAAAAAAAATCCGATCAGATCATCCCTGCAAGTCTTATTGTTAGGGGAAATACGTATTGTTGCGAACTTTCGGTGTCGAGGCCGGAAAACTTTTCCACGTGAGGCGCGTCGAAATGGGAAGCGCATTTAAATATCATCCGCAAGTGAAGGGGCGCGCAAAATAGGCTAATGAAGTATTCACGAAAAGGTCAAAAATGGAAAAGGTTAAGCGGAGGGATCAGTGCTCGTACGAACTTTCACGCACAATCAAAAATTAATCAGGAAAATTCAAATTCGCTTGATTGCGTTCATTGACGAACCGTAATCGCGTTACTTGAAAAAAGCGAGTTTCGTGAAGTGTGTCAAGGGATTCGATTTGATACATGAGGTATCTCAGGTTACGGGGGTGGGGATGAAGTGCATCAAGGGAAACAAATGAACATCATCGTTAAGTATGCGTCACCATCATATTCAGTGAATCGATATCATCTGCTATTCCACAGATATTAAGGGCGGATTCCTGTAATTATGTTGTATTTTTTACTAAGTTCGTCAGAGCGAGAGGCCACCCCTGCTCAAGGAATCACTTAGCATTAACTTTTGTAGATTAAACTTCTGGGAAGGGAGAGATTCGCATCCGAAATTGTTCCCAAGTCTTTTTAAACTTTTGAAGCCTTTATTGAGTATTTCTGAAATCTATTGAAACTTTTTATTGCTCACTTTTTGAAACCGTTTTGAAACTTGTAAGATCTGTAATTTGTGTTTTAACCTTATTCTTTCTCTAACTAGATCACGGCGTTTCATTTCCGACGCCGTTTTGGGATCACCCGCCGAATTCGGTGCGACGATGGACACGGACATTTGCGTGTCGTATTCTATAAGGTAAAAAAGCGGAACAATTCGATTCGGCTTAAAAAGGACCAACATATTGGTCAGCTCTTCTTTAGTCAATTTCATCGTATAAGCTGGTAAAAATGCATCGCATTTTAAGTCTCCGCTAGAATGAGTTTCACATAAATACCGCCGAAAATAAGAAAGTTGCGTTTTGCGCATGCGCAGTACGATTTTTAAAAGTGCATTTTATTTGCTTTTGTTAGAGGGACCTAACACCAAAGTTTCGTACAAATCGCTCCATAAATAATTAAGTCACGTTTTGCGCATGCGCAGTACGATTTTTGAAATTAGCCATCGATTCTAGAATGTGGATGAGTAATAATGGAAACCAATGTAAAAAACTGCGTCGTTCTAACCCTCGGCGTCTCCGAATAAACGTCAAAATATGAAGAATGCGCATTCCGAAGGCAACGAAGGGTGGGGGTGGTAGGGACATAAAACCCTAAAGTAGTTGCCATGCAGGCCATGCAGCCTCACGCTTTTTATAGAACCGTAGAGCCGTTGACACATCGCTCGGCTTCGCCTCGCAGTTTGAAACACAAAAGAAGGCATCGCTCGGCTTCGGCGGCTGCGCCGCCTCGCCTCGCCCATGTACCGAAATCGCCGTCGATGCTAGAATGTGGACGAGCAATATGAGAGACCAATGTCGAAAACCGCATCGTTGTAACCCTTGACGTTCCCGAATTAACGCCAAATTATGGGAAAAGTGCAATCTTTATGCAATTTAGAGGCGGAGGGGGGGGGGGGGGTAGGCGGTAGGTTAACGTAAAACCCGAATGTAGATGCTACTCGGTTTGTGTAGAATTGCTCGCATAGAATCTTTGCCCAGTTGCTCGGCTTCGCCTCGCTCGTTGCGACGCAAAAGAAAAGACATCGCTCGGCTTCGCCGGCTGCGCCGCCTCGCCTCGCACGTTGCGTTTTTATTCGCGTCGTTCTATTGCGTTTCCGAATAAACGCCAAAATATGAAATCTACCGATGAGGAGAGGGTGGGGAGGGGGGAATGTCGGATGTGAAGTCGGAGGATACAAATACGACTCCAAAGTAAAAAACCGCATCGTTCTAACCCTCGTAGTTTCCGAATAAACGTCAAAACGCCGAAAAAGTGTCGTTTAACGGCCCGCGGGTGGTTAACGAGGGGGGGGGGGGGGGTGCGAAAGGGACGTCGGGGGAAAGACTTCGGAGACTTCCCGAACACTTACCCTCCCAGAGGCCGCTCCGCCGCCGTAAATATTTTTTACTGGCGATTATTCCGCGTCTCGAATTCGGTACGACTCTTTTTAAAAATTCGCCTCTCTCGCACCCCTCGACGAATGGGGTGGTGCGGTACGCCGTAAGTCGGGGGAGGTTCGGGGCGACGTTCGAGCCGCAGAAAGTTTTTCTTAGGTCGTCGGGTATTCGCGTCGCGAAGGATAAAGCGGAGCGACGTCGACGATGCACAGCTTTGCACCCCCCTACCCCCCAAACAAACTCATAGCCGGTACGGCGACCCCATACGTTAGGCGCGGAACCTTCCGGACTTTACATCGGACGCGATTCGAAAAAAAAAGTGGACACGTTTTCGAGCAATTCCGCCCCCGTCTTCCGGTACGGGTCCTCCCCCGCGGGGGGGGGGGGTCGCGAGTTTCGCCATCGCGTCTTTCGAAAGCCTCGACCCACCTAACCCCATCCACAAGCTCGATTCTTCGAGTTTGACGGGCGACCCTCTGCGAATTTTTTCCGGAAGCGCATTTTTGGGAGGTAGCGGCGGGGAGGGGGTGAAGACGAATTTTCCTGGGGTCGGAATTCGGGGCTCGTGTAAAAATTTGGCGAATATCCTATTATAACTCCGCTGAGTTGGTCGGCATGTTTCTGCAACGCGGCTGCTTATGCAACACAAGTTGCCTATATTGTAATCTTTAATTATTATAATCTTATTGCATTAAAGAGTCTTAAAACTACTCCGACTTTTGACCTGTGGGCATCCGACTGTAGTTACCTGAAGGCAAAACCCAGTGCACTCTTACAATGGCGCCCGAGCAGGGAAAACACAACAAATGGGGCTATTAACCTCTGATGACCTTGAAAATGAAGTAGGACAACACAATATGGGGTCATTGACCTCTGATTGCCTTGACAATAAAATGACACCGCAAAGAAAATTGACAAGTGGAGTTAGCTCCAGAAGATAAGGAAAAGACAGCCTTTACCCTTAGATCAGGATTATGGCAATTCACCGTCATGTCATTCGGAATGAGCAATGCGCCAGCCACTTTTGAGCGACTAATGGAATCGATTCTTAAAAGAAAATTTGCCTGGTTTATTCCGATGATATTGTTGTAATTGGAAAAACTTCAAGGATCACAGTAGGAACCTTGAAGACTCACAGGTCAACTTGCAGCAGATTCCCAAAAAGTGCAATTTCTTTCGACGCCTCGTGCGATATAATGGGAATTGTATCCCGTTTATTGAGTATTTCTGAAATCTATTGAAACTTTTTATTGCTCTTTTTTTGAAACCCTTTTTGAAAACAACCTGTAATTTGTGTTCCAACCTTATTTTTCCTCTAAATGATTTTTAAATCGTTTTGAATATCTTTCTAACCTGATTGTAATGCTCATCGGGTTTCAAAACAAGGCCGACTAGGGTTAACCTGGCCATAAGTCTCATAAAAGGAATCTTCCAAGCGATTCAAACAACCACTTTTCAAGAGCCAGTTGAATATTTTGACAACCACGAGGGCGGTGACAATTGTGTTTGAGTCAGGTCTATCGGTCTAATGCCGAAACCCAAAATGTTAATGCAGTATTGAATACCGTGAAATCCCCGATGCTACAAATCATAGAAGCAAGTAAGATGGGAAACGGAACCAAAACTAAATCAAAATTAACAGGAAAGCTATTTGGTGGCTGGAAAATAAACGGAAAAATAATTCTGGTATCTGGTAGAGATATACAGGAAGAGACCTGCTACAGGTCTCCGGAAAAAGTGTTCTGGTGAAATACAAATTCATGTTTTTGCAGGGACAAGGAGGAGCACAAATATGTGGGAAAATAGAAGGGATTTAATTTCAAAGGATGGGAACAACAGTAGGCGACATCTAACGGAGGAATTTTACAACACCTATTACAGGGGTTTACAACTAAAATGTTTTCTTACAAATATTTATTGCAAACATTTGGAAATTTTCTTAACCTTAAGAGATTTGATCGAAATCAGTGTTTTAGGACTGTCTGGATTTATTTTCTGAAATATTTTGAAATCAGCATTTTTTAACCCCAATAGGTTGGATCAGAAGGAGTTTGCAAATAATTGTGAAACTAAGAATGGTAAGTGCGGTTTTTTGGTTTTCCCAGTATTTGAGGTTAGGAACGAGATTTTGAAAAACGGTTTTCACTGGCCTCTTTGGATGTTATTTAGCTACTTTTTCATAAAGAAAAACTCATATCATTCCATTTGATTTTTTTAGGATTTTGGATCATAGTGTCAAAACTAGCCCCCTGGCGGAGATTCATGTTGCCCAAAGAATGCTCTTTTCAACCATACCAAATTTGTTAAAATCGGTCAAACGGTTAAGAAGTTTAAGCAGGTTATTGCAAAAACAATTGAACGCCCCACACCATCCTTGTTTTAAAAATGTGAAAAATTTTTTTTTACTTTATTATGCGAAATTTAAAGAAAATCCACGAACGTTTCTCGAGGTATGGCCGAGGAACAGTCTTATTGGGTCACCCGGTACGGTGCACTTGTAGGGTGGCCTGCTATGAAGGCAGTGGAGGGATCTTTTCGTCGGGCCCGAGCCCTAGGAATCGCCCCTCTGGGATTAAAGACTGGGGGACCAGTCAATTAAAAACTCAGTGACAACAAGCAATCGGACTCAGACAGTCCAGGTTCTTTTTCAACAGGACCCTTTGGAAAATCTGGGTCGTCGAAGTTTCTAAAATAGAATAGAAGCCAGATAAGGGAGATCACTTATAGAGGAGCACACGTGCAAGTTTTGTGGCGAGGCAGATAAAACTTCCCGAGCATGTGGTCGGCCACTGTTGCGCTTTAATCAGAGACAGATGTCAGCTCCTTGGCGACAGCTAACTGGAACTGGGGAGAGAGATGCAACTCAGGCTGGTCCTATCCTTTATTAAGAGGAACAGACTCTGAACCTTGCGAAAGGAAGGGGGTAGGCACCATGGGCCTTTGGTGTGCCTAAGTGCTTCCTGGTTGGGCTCCCATGTGAAGGAGTAAAAGATTTGTCGACACAATCCTAGAGATAACGCGATAACCAAAGAGCAATCACATGAGAAGCAAAGGTAGGAGCCAATCTGGTTTGTTCTACAATCACTAAGGACTCAAATGGTAGCTGGGAGGATGCATAAAATTGCATCGACTGTGGACTGGATCAGTTAAACAATGGAACACCCCGTATATTTTAATCTAAAAGATAGCATATTAAAGTCTCTTTTCAAAAATATAAAATTAAAAAATTCAAGAAGTTTTTACATTAATTTAAAAAAGGATTTAAAAAACATTTGAATTATTTTTTAAATGGAACACCCTGTATATTTTAATCTAAAAGATAGCATCTTAAATTCTGTTTTCAAAAATGTAACATTAAAAAGTTCAAGAAATGTAGGTATATTGTTTCAACAAATTTTTTTAAAAAATCAAAAATCTGAGTGCATTTTTTTAAATCCTGAACCTAATCTTATTTTTTAAATGGAACACCTTGTATATTTTAATCCAAATGATAGCATATTAAATTTTCTTTTCAGAAATGTAACATTAAAAACATTAAACTGGAGGATAATCCGCAACATGATAGGTCATTTCAAAAAAACATGAGAATCAAAGTTTCGGTATGCAGTTTTAGGCAAACAAAGTGCGCCGAACTCCGGAAAATCGTGGATTACTATTTCTTCCAAACTACAGGATGTCAAAAAGGCGCTTCCTGCCAATACCGATACAGCCTTATGAGGGAAAGGGAAATATTCCGGGAGCATTGTGATTTGAAAACAGAATCAGTCTAACGTTTCAATACGTTCAGCTCATTTCCGTGCCTTTAAGGGCAAAGAGAATTAAAGTTTGACCGTTTAAATAACAACAAAGAATCACAGTGGCAAAATTTGTTAATATTTTAATTTGAATTCACCTGGAAGTGATAAAGAGATTTTTATTTTTGCTTTGGCCTTCTTAAAAGGAGTAATTACAACAAAATCTTAATATGAGCTGGTCGAAGGGGTTAAAACAGTTCAATATCAATCCAAATTCAACGAATTTAATCAAACAGCCGTTACATTTTGACGCTCAGCGGCGGGGCTTAAAAAAGGGGCGTGTTAAATTAGTTCAAGACAAACTTTTTTCGTTGTCCGTGATATTCTGAAAATGGTAGGATAACAATGGAAACGAATTTTGGTACAATTAACAGCCGTTCATTTTTAGAGACCAACCTCACGGAATTCGGTGTGAAAAATATGACTTTACGCATGAGAATACAGAAGGGCGAACGTGCGACTCGGATATCTAGAAGGTGAACAAAGTGAAAGTAAAGAAAACTTTTGTTCCAAACCGACGTAAATTCAAGTCGAGGGCGAAAACGTGGTAAATCCGAGAACGACGACAACGCCGTCGGGGTAATTGCAAGCCCCCCGACTTGTACCAAGGTAAAATCGATTGCACGTATAAAAAGTGCCCTACAAATAAACAATCGACAGTCTTTCCATACATAAACAGATTTCACTCTTTCTATTTGCCGACGCGTCGTCAATTTTCAATAGCGCGCCCCCCGTTTTTCCCCATTAAAAATTTAAAGGTAAATAAAATCGCTCTTACGACACCGGTTACCGTGACCCTGTCGCGAAAAAGGAACAAGATAACTTTAATTATGATAATCAGGCTGCAAATTACGTCAGTTTTATCAGGACAGATAAAACCGACGCTAACGATTTTTCTCGCGTTTAATTAAAGTCGTCTACCTTTAATTAAAAATGCGGTGGGTCAACTCAAATCCCTTTACTGAGAATGAGACCAAAAATTTTGCATATTGATTGATGCACTGCAGATCTACATTTCGCTACCCCCAAACGCGTTTTGTGATCCGGTCCTAATACGGGGACAAAGTCGAGATTACGTGCACTATTTACAAAAATAATAATAAAGTGTCTAAATAGTCGGCATAGACGAGGGTCGAATTTAAAATTTAAGAGCGTAACCGTTTAAAAGCGAGACCTGGACGCAAGGCGTCGAAAGCGTAAAGAAAAAGAGGTGTTACATACCTGATAAGATGGAAAATAAATGATGAGCTTATTTGGTGTGGCGTGTGGTCGACTATGAAAATAAAGAAAATGCACATATATTACAGCGCCTCTTTCGGTGTTTTCAGCAGACGCTATCGATTTCGTTACTCATTCACGTTTGCCTTCCACTCGGTGGCTTCCGCGCGCTCATTGAGATCTAGACATTGTGGAATCCTCGCTTTTTTCGCGACTGAGGCGCGTGTATGAGTCAGCGCGTTCTTATTAAAAATTCGAAATTAGGATGTGGACATCCTGCTTTTGACGTGAACTTATTACTTAACACTGGCTTTCTGCGATGAAGGTAATGTAGGTTCTAGTCTCATCCTTATATGTGGTTGATGTGATTTCCATTGGACGAGCATTCCCTTTTCCTCTCCCATGAAGCTCAATCAACACTTCCCAAACGTGTGTTTTGTATTCCTATCCGTACCCCATAATCCACGGGGCAGCTTCAAAGAGCATTTTATGTAGATGTCATTTCATTCGACAATGCCCCTCTCCCTCCCCCATTGGCAGATCTGCCAATCAGAGGTTGGAACCCATAGGAAATAAAATTTCGGTTCCGGTTTCTTTTTTTTCAGTTTTTAAGGATTTCAACAAAAATAAATAAAATTACTATAAAAAATATAAGTTATTAATAAATATAGAAAATAAATAATACAAACAATTAAAGTACATGATTCTCTCGATTATTTGATATAATGTGTGCATTTAATGTAGATGTCATTTCATTCGACAATGCCCCTCTTCCTTCTCATTTTTTAAGGGTTCCGTTATCGGTTCTGTGACCAGTAATTTTCGGTTCCGGTTCCTGTTTTTTTCAGTTTTTAAGGGTTTCAACATAAATAAATAAAATTACTATAAAAAAATATAAATTATTAATAAATATAGAAAATAAATAATACAAACAATTAAAGTACATGATTCTCTCGATTATTCGATATCATGTGTACATTTATTGTAGATGTCATTTCATTCGACAATGCCCCTCTTCCTTCTCATTTTTCAAGGGTTCCGGTACCGGTTCTGTGACCAGTAATTTTCGGTTCCGGTTCCTGTTTTTTTTCGGTTTTTAAGGGTTTCAACATCAATAAATAAAATTATTATAAAAAAATATAAATTATTAATAAATATAGAAAATAAATAATACAAACAATTAAAGTACATGATTCTCTCGATTATTCGATATGATGTGTACATTTAATGTAGATGTCATTTCATTCGACAATGACCGCCTCTTCCTTCTCATTTTTTAAGAGTTCCGGTACCGGTTCTGTGACCAGTAATTTTCGGTTCCGGTTCCTGTTTTTTTTCGGTTTTTAAGGGTTTCAACATAAATAAATAAAATTACTATAAAAAATATAAATTATTAATAAATATAGAAAATAAATAATACAAACAATTAAAGTACATGATTCTCTCGATTATTCGATATGATGTGTACATTTAATGTAGATGTCATTTTATTCGACTATGCCCCTCTTCCTTCTCATTTTTTAAGGGTTCCGTTACCGGTTCTGTGACCAGTATTTTCGGTTCCGGTTCCTGTTTTTTCAGTTTTTAAGGGTTTCAACATAAATAAATAAAATTACTATAAAAAAATATAAATTATTAATAAATATAGAAAATAAATAATACAAACAATTAAAGTACATGATTCTCTCGATTATTCGATATGATGTGTACATTTATTGTAGATGTCATTTCATTCGACAATGCCCCTCTTCCTTCTCATTTTTTAAGGGTTCCGTTACCGGTTCTGTGACCAGTAATTTCCGGTTCCGGTTCCTGGTTTTTTCAGTTTTTAAGGGTTTCAACATAAATAAATAAAATTACTATAAAAAAATATAAATTATTAATAAATATAGAAAATAAATAATACAAACAATTAAAGTACATGATTCTCTCGATTATTCGATATGATGTGTACATTTAATGTAGATGTCATTTCATTCGACAATGACCGCCTCTTCCTTCTCATTTTTTAAGAGTTCCGGTACCGGTTCTGTGACCAGTAATTTTCGGTTCCGGTTCCTGTTTTTTTTCGGTTTTTAAGGGTTTCAACATAAATAAATAAAATTACTATAAAAAATATAAATTATTAATAAATATAGAAAATAAATAATACAAACAATTAAAGTACATGATTCTCTCGATTATTCGATATGATGTGTACATTTAATGTAGATGTCATTTTATTCGACTATGCCCCTCTTCCTTCTCATTTTTTAAGGGTTCCGTTACCGGTTCTGTGACCAGTACTTTTCGGTTCCGGTTCCTGTTTTTTTCAGTTTTTAAGGGTTTCAACATAAATAAATAAAATTACTATAAAAAAATATAAATTATTAATAAATATAGAAAATAAATAATACAAACAATTAAAGTACATGATTCTCTCGATTATTCGATATCATGTGTACATTTATTGTAGATGTCATTTCATTCGACAATGCCCCTCTTCCTTCTCATTTTTCAAGGGTTCCGGTACCGGTTCTGTGACCAGTAATTTTCGGTTCCGGTTCCTGTTTTTTTTCGGTTTTTAAGGGTTTCAACATCAATAAATAAAATTACTATAAAAAAATATAAATTATTAATAAATATAGAAAATAAATAATACAAACAATTAAAGTACATGATTCTCTCGATTATTCGATATGATGTGTACATTTATTGTAGATGTCATTTCATTCGACAATGCCCCTCTTCCTTCTCATTTTTTAAGGGTTCCGGTACCGGTTCTGTGACCAGTAATTGTCGGTTCCGGTTCCTGTTTTTTTTTCGGTTTTTAAGGGTTTCAACATCAATAAATAAAATTACTATAAAAAAATATAAATTATTAATAAATATAGAAAATAAATAATACAAACAATTAAAGTACATGATTCTCTCGATTATTCGATATGATGTGTACATTTAATGTAGATGTCATTTTATTCGACTATGCCCCTCTTCCTTCTCATTTTTTAAGGGTTCCGGTACCGGTTCTGTGACCAGTAATTTTCGGTTCCGGTTCCTGTTTTTTTCGGTTTTTAAGGGTTTCAACATAAATAAATAAAATTACTATAAAAAAATATAAATTATTAATAAATATAGAAAATAAATAATACAAACAATTAAAGTACGTGATTCTCTCGATTATTCGATATGATGTGTACATTTAATGTAGATGTCATTTCATTCGACAGTGCCCCTCTTCCTTCTCATTTTTTAAGGGTTCCGGTACCGGTTCTGTGACCAGTAATTTTCGGTTCCGGTTCCTGTTTTTTTTTCAGTTCAGTCAGAAGCTTATAAATGCAATCGGTTCCGGTTCGGGTACCGGTACTTTTCGGTTCCGGTTCCAACCCCTGCTGTCAATAGATGTAAATCGTTCATACTGAACTTCAGCGAACTCTTTGGATGAAATTCACTGCAGAGTAAATATCAAAATATGCAAAAACCCATTTTATTTTTTAGTGGGCTGTATTTCAACCAAGGCTACTCTACCAACCTAATTTATGAACGTTTAAAATGTTCTGTACTGACGTAATAAGTTCAATGTATTTTATGACCCCTTCTAGTCCATCGAGATATTCGGTTTGTATTTGTTTCAATCTGAATATGGTGGTTGAACCGTTCCAGCAGTCCGATAAGGTCGAAGAAGTTGTTGTCTCACAGAAGATACTGGTTTAAGCCTCCTACTTTTGAAAACATCATGGCCTACCTATGCTCGACAGTTTGAGGCAAATGGAACGACGCAAAGAGGACGATTGCACTCATTTTGGCATTGCGAGGTTTCAGGAGTTAGAAACAGATATCACCTTGAGTTGTCCGCTTTCCATTTTCAAACGACCAGTACGTACCGTTGGCGTATATAGAGACACCGTTCAAACAACAAATACCCGAGACACCATTCGAAAGAATTTGCACGTGGAATAATGGGGGTACGTTTGGCATCTTGTCTTGAATGGCGGTCGCGAACGCGTCGCTTCATAAATGTTTGTTGTTATTTTGTGTTATTTAATGCAGGTAGTAATTTTTCAATTTCTAATTCCGTGATTGTCTTCGACATTCAACTGTAGGCTCGAAACCAGGGGCGGGTAACCTATCTTGCAGGAGCGGGATTACGCCAATCAAAGCTCTTTAGTTTAGAATCAATGTGCGATAAATGAGTGGCGATTCAATGATTTTCATATATCTTGTTTTTAGTTAAATTTGTCTACAAGGCCATGTAATTTTACATCTTGCTTTTAACAAAAGGACTTTATTGCACCAAAGATGAGTCACATCCTGTGTATTTCACCCTTTCTTAGAATCTTGGTACCTGCTTACGTGACCCATAATTCCCAAAACTTGTTTTTAACCTATATGTTTCCTCTAGAAGTTTACCTGCTACTTTTTGTGATGTTACAACTTTATGTTACGCATTCACATCATTACAAACAATTAATTTTACTACATAATTTAATATTAATTTGACGGCTGGTTTTTTTATTGGCAAGTTCTTTTTTTCCCAGCCTATTTCTATTTTTATTCGGTGAACTACAATTTTCAAAGTTTATTTTTGCAATATAATTTATTTCGACTTAAATTTCCGAGCTTTTACAATCAATAATAATTGCGATCATTACTAAACAAACTTTTCACAATTTGAGTGTTTTATTTTACGTTCCATCCCTACTGTGCTTCAGGTCATAGTGTTGTTTACAACTAACGTAAGGTAAGGGGTCCTCTGCCTTAGATATTTGATCACGTTATACGATCAATGTTAGATTATTCCCTAAATTGTTACGCTCTCAGCACTTTTCTGATCATTTTTCAAAGAGGGCCATCGAAGACATGCCAGAACAAAAGCAGTAGACAAGAAGGCGATATTCCCACAGCTTCTGAAATATTATCAAATGCGGCGGGGAAAGATCTCATTTCTTGTGCTAAAAATCACGACGCTGCCAAATGTTGGCAATCGAAAGAAATGTCCTACGAAGATTAGCAGAAAGTAGGTACTTGCTTCAGGTGCTAAAAAATTCGACACTCCTTGTGCAATTACAATCATTATCACCTATTGATAAGCCGAAGTAATCGAAAGGTATGGAAATCATACAGGGAAACAAGGTACAGCAAACCATATATTATCAGCGCACCTTCAGTATTCTCCCAGATGTTTTGAAAGTTAATATCGTTGATAAAATCAGGCAAGCTCTCAGTTCGGATAATTGGAGAAACCGGAAGTCAACGCAATCAGGTATATAACTTTGAAGCAGTGCAACAAGGCAATGCTGTAAAAAATGAAGGGGAAATATAATTTTTGGAGGAAAACTATCGCTGCTAAAATGGAGTTGAGGCGACGGACGTCATCCTCAGAAATAGAAATTGTGATTCTCCTCGAGAAATGTGAGTCCTCGGCTTGAAATGGAATAGAGGAGACGACACTTTACAATGCGTAATCAAGGATTCGAAGTTTGAAAAAGAAGTTACAAAGAGCTGAAGTACTGGTTCCAAAAATATCGTCACAGACAATTACGCTCTCTTTCAAATTAAATATAGACAGGCTCATTTTCTCCTCATTCTACCTATTTAAGCAAAAACCAACTCTAATAAAATTAATCAAATTTATTTACGCCGCCAAAAATGATCAAACACCTGCATCGCTTATCTCGCACGTGACATTGTTTGTCGAAAAACCTAATTCTTATCCGATATCAATTTTTTATCAACACCTGACCAGATGAAACCCATGTAAAAAAATATTTCCTAAGTTACCCGTATACTGGGGGGTATTCCACGCCTGTATTTCTGTTGGATGCTGAGTGTTTTGTTTGTTGGTTGAAGCTACTGGAAAACAGTATAGGAGGACCGATTTATTAAAAAACAAATTTCACAAGACTATATCCTGTCCACAACAACCCAATCCAAAATGTACAAATCACGATGTGATACATCACTTGAAGCTTACGTAGCCATCTTTTTGCTTCAGGTAACGTCTCCATGGGATCCTTGGCTAGATATACGCGTACACCCCTTGCATAGATGTCAAAGAACGCATTCCAATCGATCGTGCCCATATCGAAGCAAAACTTCTTCTTGTCCGACTCGCTCATGCTGCGGTACAATGCTTGCGTGTTGTCATTGGAGAACTTCCACTGGTTTATTGAAAAGTATTCGGTTGCACTCATGAATTTGCCTATTTTACTGTAACCGTCTACAAGGCTGAAATTTAAGCTTCAGGTAAACTTGGCGTGTGCACTGCGAACGTACAACGGTTTCTTTCCTATGAGCCGTGCGACAAAGTCGACGATGTATGCGGGAATGTAGTGAAATAGGAGTTTCAACGTGATGTAAAGGTAGTAATTACTGGTTAGAGTTAAGAAATAGAAACATAACATGTTTTTCATTGGATACTTCGCAAAGTGCGTTTCGCCATATCTCATGATTTCTCCTGGAACATTTTTACCAACATCCTAGAGAAGCAAACTTTACGATACTTACGCATTGTAAGAGGATTTTCTCGGGTACTGACGTAGTTGAATATGGGAGGTTTGCGACAATCGCCCATAGCTACGTTATTTTCGGGCTCCCTATTAAGAAAAAAATGCTTAAATGTTCTGGTTGTTCGTCGTTACATAATAAATCTGCCTCTGGCAACATCACACAAATTTCCAAATTCGATATATGAAAGTAGTTACGGTAATTACCCTCGCGGTAATCCTGTCGCTTAGACTGGAGGCGGATGCCCTTATCAGTAAAAAATGAGAATAATGGCCGAGAGCGCACCGTCAAATTCGGGTCGTAAAGAATTTTGAAGCTATTGTGGAATCGGTGGGAATCCATTCCAACCCTTCTAAAGGGCAGAAATCATTGCCCAAAAATTGTTTCCGACTATTCTCGTGAATAAGCGAAGTTTCAAGTGGAAACGCCGCGATGTACCCGTTAGAGACACGTAAAAAGAACTTACTCCACTCCAACGCTCCAGGCGGCTGCAATGGCGTTGTTGATGGCATAATCTGCAGGTACTATATCGGACAAAGCATCCGATTTCGCGTACAAAACATGAATTAAACCGACAGCACTTGCCAACAGTACCCCGGTGAGGCCATAGTAATTATCAATAAAACCCTCAATTGGCTCCTTTGCAGTGGGAATAACTATAACAATTTACCTTGCAACAAGCCCGTATAGTTAATATCGTCGTACCTATGGAAGGGCGAACTATGGCCAATGGTAGCCCTCCGCTTTCGTTGAGTACTACGTCTTCGGCGATCGCTTTTGAGAAAGCGTATGTATTTGGCCAATCTCCTAGAAGACTGTAAATCGTTATTACTACACCCAGAAAGCAACCAGCGGCTTACGTGGGGGTTATCTTGTCAAGAAAATCATCACTGCACGAATCCACCAACTTCAGCAAATTCTCGCCGGTTATTGGGGGCTTATAGAACTCCTCCCCGATATCCCTCTGAACACAATACGAGTAGGCCGTCGACATATAAACAAACGATTTTAAATTGAACATCCTATTAGCCATACGCAGCAGATCTCGAGTGGCCCTAACGTTGATATAGGCGGCGGTTCGAATTTTTTGGTCGAACCTAACCGTGGCCGCAAAGTGAAAGATACAGTTGACCTTCTCCATCAACATCGCTTTATCTTCAAGATTTAACCCCAAATCGGGTTGAACGCAATCGCCTGGAATCAGAACAACTTTTTCCTTAAAGTCGGGCTGCTCCATTTTGAGCCGATCGAACACCTTAAAACATGCAAGTGACCTTGTTTGAAGAAGAACGTGTGCTTACTACGCTCTGGAAGAGCTCCTCCAGCCTGTCCTCGACATCCTTTTGCTTTTTCACGCGGACCAGCACGTAGATCTTCTCCAGGCCTTCACATGATCGCAGTAATTTTTCCAAAGTCAGTTTTCCCATAAAACCAGTCGCCCCGGTTAGAAAAACACGGCCGCCCGAGAAGAACTGTTCGATCGTCGATCGCTGCTTTTCCACTTGACTCATCTTTATGCGATCAGAAAGCGAAACATGGACATGTACGCCGCCGCATCCGTATAAGTATCCACGTCGGCCATGGGATTTCAACCTTCGCGCATTATTACATTGCTGATATTATGGTAATTTCCAAAACACAATGGTGCATTACATTGGTGTAGAATAAATAGGTCAAACATGTCAGAATAGATTACAAAGTAGTCTGGCATTATCATTACACGTGCTGTTTTCAGATTGACTATTCGCCCCTATGCCACATTTAATAACAATCGGAGACGTTCTTATTCGAATCTGTTAACCTATACTAAAATTGGTTCGCAAAATATTTGGCACCTTCAGAGGACCTCGAGAATAATGTAGAATCTAGAGATTCAAGGATGTAAAAATCTAAAGTACCTAAGAGATCTCATGGCTCTCCGGATGTTGATTTTTCTTACTGATTCGTTGACTTGTAGTTCCTATTTAGGTTATAGATCGTCTTATGAAACTTACCCTTTTTGCTTTGCCTATATGACAGATGAAGCGACAATTTTAAATACCCCATCAAGATCAAAATCGATACCTACGTTACCTGAATTATACCTTTAAATCAATAAGTACTGTCAAATACAGACAATATATCGTCTGCTTTATTCATGATGCAAACGTTATAAGTTACAATTTTGAACATAATCACAGTAGCGCAACTTACTGCTAAATATTGATTTTGCGCCTTCTCTGAGCGTAGCATGAGGGATAGAATGTGTGTTCACCCCCTTCCGTCTGCAACCATTTTTAATTGGCACGCGTATGCTGAATTTGAGACGTATGTGTGTAGACTTAGTGCTTCTCGCACTTACATTGCAATTTTTGGAGAGGGGCCACCGCACGTAACTCCCGAATCCTGTGGGACTTTTAAGGCTGCACGTTTTGAGGATCTCGTAGCACCTGATGGGGGTATAGAATACGTTCCAGGAAAAAAGAAACAGTTCATCTTCATTTTCCTACACTTATCATACCATTTTCATCTACTGGGGGGGGGGGGGTTCCATACCCCCTTGTTCTACATGTCTTCCTCACAATACCTAGCGCGTTTGGTACTGACGTAATTTTTGGAGGGGGACCATCGAACGGAACTCCAGAATCCTGTGCAGCTTTACTCAGGACTTTGGAAGTTTTGCGGGATCATATAGCACTTGGGGGGCCTGGGGGCATAGAATACCTCCCAGGTATTAAGATAAGTTTAATGTGCATTTGGTGGGACACAGAGTGAAAGAGAAAAAGCAAATTACAAAAACGTCCTAATGGATTGGAAAACAGGAAAAGATAGATACAGGCGAAGAGTACAGAACAAAGAATATAAGAATACATGCAAACGCAAAAAAGATGAATAACAAAAGGAGGAAATAAGAGAAATACAAAGCATCAAAAACGTAAATGAAGTGTGGAAATTTATAAACAAAGAGAGGAAAAATAAAGAAGGAATACCGGACGACATTGGAGAAGAAGAAGGGAAAAACTACTTTATATAAAGTTTAAACGGACAGATAAGCTTCAGAATTAGGGGAAGAAGAAATGGAAGCAGAAATAGCAAAGATAAAAAAAAGAAAGCTCCCGGATCAGACCAAATAACAAATGAGATGATAATACACCCGCCGGAAAACGTGAAACAGCAAATCAGAAAAATTATTAACAGGGTATGGAGAGGAGGAGGATTTCCGGAAAGTTGTAAAGAAGACAATACAAAGAAGGAAACAAAGATGAGATCAAAAACTATAGGGAAATCACACTCCTAAACTCAACATACAAACTTTACGCTAAAATACTAAACAACCGCTTAAATGAAGAAGTAGAGGACGCAAGGATGTCCGCTAAGTGCAACCCTTTTCAGCATTTATGTGGCAGACCTGGAAGAAGCATTAAGAAAATGGCAAGCAGGAGGAATAAAAATTGGAGGACAAAAGATATGGTCATTAACATACGTGTCACTTTTCAAATTTAAGCGGGATCTTGTTTAGTTTTGGAAGGAATAGTCATTCTGGTGGCCATTTTTAAACGAACCTGGGGGCTAAGTACAGTACAATATGATGTAAAATGTGTTTAGCGTCTTCCACAGTTACTTCTCTTGCTCCAGATTTGCACCTATTTTTATCTCTGTGAACAGTGATTCTTTTCTTCAGCGAGGTTTTTGGTCCGATGAGCTCTAGGAGGACATGGCATACCTTTGATTTTAAATGCATTCTATATAAATTTGTAGGAACTCTCTCGGCATTTAGATTCATTTTATACATGCAATTTCTAGGTGGGAAAAAGCTGCCTGCGCCATCTAAACAGCGCGAACGGGCATCTGGTCTTGAATAGCGGTCGTGAACGCGTCGCTCCACAAATCTTTGTTGTTATTTTGTACGTTATTTAATGCGGGTAGTAATTTTTGTATTTCTTTATATCATATTTGTGTTTTGTATGCCGCATGTTGTATTTTTTGTGTGTTTCAATCTTTGTTTTTGAAATTTACTTGGTTTAACCGCAATGCAGAATCACATGTGTGATACCATTATGCTATTGTTTGTAATTGTTTACATTTTTGGTGTAATTATGCTAGCTTAATTTATGTTTATTGATGTTGATTACTTGGTCTTGTCCCTGAAGTAATAACATTCATATAAGTTTTAATCATTTTATTTTAATATGTGGAAATTACCGATTCGTTTGATCGATGTACTGACTTGTTGTTTGTATCTAACCATTTTCTCCGTGAATGAAGCAGTCACGGGGGTGGTAAAAACTGTAGTCAAAATTGAGCTACGACACATAATTCCGTGATTGTCTTTGACTTTCAACTGTAGGCTCGAAACCCCGAAACCAGGGGCGGGTTACCTATCTTGCAGGAGCGGGATTACGCTAATCAAAGCTCTTCAGTTTAGAATCTATGTGCGATAAATGAGTGGCGATTCAATAATTTCCACATATCTTGTTTTTAGTTAAATTTGCCTACAAGGCCGTGTAATTTTCCATCTTTCTTTTAACAAAAGGACTTTATTACACCAAAAAGTTAGCGTAGAACCTGGGGATTAAGTACACTGAGATAATTACAATTAGTTTGATATTGATCTTTAAGAATAAACTAATATTACTACCCTCGTACCTTCTCAATTTTATACGGGGGAGTTAGAAATTGATCAAGTGCGCTCAACGAAGTTAAGATGAAATACCCAGAACGAACTACCGCTGTGGAAGATCTGAAGCTCATATTTTGTTTTCTAATTTTGAGCTAGTTGGCCGTTTATGCAGCGGGTTTGAGGAAACGCAGTGCCATCTCTACCAACCGTTATAACAGACGCGCGTAAAAAATAAAAAAAATAAAAACCTCCGAAAGAAAATCCATTGTTATCGGATAAATAAAAAGTGTGACGTTTGTGAATTTTTCTCTGCAAATCAATCGAAAACCTAATTCCAAATGTTGAAAGTATGGGACAAAACCGTGAAAAGGGCGCGCAAAAGCGACATCTAGTGTAAACAAATAAACTATCCAGTTTTGACAATTTTTAGCAATACCACAAATTTGTTAGTTTATTATACACGTTTTTGTATTTAAAACGGCTTTTTTCACATTATATATGCTCGTTTTTCGTTTATATTATGGGGTGAGTTTTAAGCCAACGCGACATAAACGAGCACTTCGAAATTGCGTAAACAGATTCACTTTCTTTGCGTTGATTTAGGTTATGTTGATTCTTGAATGGAAAAATTGTGAAGTGTCCAAGTGAAAATTAGCGCGAAATTAAACGATAAACTTTAAAACACGATCGAGGCTTTCAGTAGGAGAAAATGGGCATCGAAAGAGAGTCGTTCGTCGGCAACCCCCACAGACAGGATTACATCGACGAAGACGACGATTTGGAGTTCTTCTCCGGCGACGAGATAGACTTTACGGCCTTTGGATTGCAGCCCGGCGATCCGGATCTCCTATTAGATGAAACCTACGACGTCGTAACGGAGGACGACGAAGATTACGAACCGGACGGCTACGAGGACTTTCTCTCTGATTCCGAATACGAGTATGGAGACGACGAGACCGGTTCCGAAGAATCCGGAGTCGAGCAAGGTAATTATCAACCCGTCCCTCGCCATTGTTAATGCGTACTCGATTTTTTAGCGTATTTTTCCGATTCGGAACAGGAGATGCCTCTGCCGGAAAGCGAGGAGAGCGATGTACAAAACAAAGTCTCGTCCACTACCACGAGTAGTGAGAGCAAAACAAACGGTGACAGTAAAACTAACGATACCGGCGGATTAGAATCTAATCAGGCCGCCGAAACTTAAAACCATCCGTTAAATTCAAATGAACTTTTTCTTTTCATTCTGAATTATACATTTGTAATAAAGCTGAGTTAGTTCCGTTTTAATCAAGTTTTGAACATTATTTAATTATTCTAGTTTGGTTACTATTATTATTATAAATGTTTTCTTAATAAGTTTCAGTTGTATTGAAATACGTGCAAGCGTTTAGCAAAGGAAACGCTTTTTATGTAGCTATAAAATGTTATCAGTAAACTTTTTTATGTTTTATAAGTCTTATTCTACAACATTTTATTATTAGTGTTAGGTATATTATTATTTGAACCATGGCCTTGGGGAATATTGTACCCTCTGACTATATTCAGCCTCCCTTAAAGTGTCTGTTTCTGAAAAGTCCAAAATCTTCCTGGGAGACAGGTGTATTCTTTCGGCAGTACCCTATGAATAAATCAGTCGATAGGTATAAATCATTCCCACAAAGTTTCAGCAGATCTTATGCCAGCTCTATGTCTGGAAAGTTGCCTAATGGTCAAGACAGAGGGTCTGTATATGTTGGTAACATTTTATTCCATGGAGGAAGTATCTCATGCCGATTCTTCGCTGTATCATGTTGCTTTCTTATCTCATGCGGACTGTACCTCGCTTGTGTCTTAGCAATGCGAGAAAGGGGCTCCTTAAATTAACTTCTCCCTCCAGATGTTTATTGTGTGGGGTCTGGATGTGAGATAATCAACTGTTTGCATGGTCACTTGTGCTTTTTCTTGTTAAATTATAATGGTAGCCAAGGCTGGAGCAGAGTGATTATGATGTTTTTTTGTATGCAATTTATTTGTACCTATTTACCTACCATTTTACAAGATTTTTTTTGTGTAAATTGATTCTAGACTGTAGATGTTTTAGTACCAATTCCATTTTGATAACCGTGGGTGGCCGAGGAAGTACAGGGTGTCCCATTTTTGACACTTATTGGGTATCTCCATATCAAAAAGGTAACATTGGCGTCATGTGCTCTTTGGGTTAAACTTTAAATAGTAAATCAAATTTCAATTCCAGAATGACCCTATATATCTTCTTGGTTACAAGAGGTACCTACAGAACAATGTTTTATACCATAATTACCGCTTTCAGAATAACTAGATAAAAGAGTTATCAGACATAACCTAATTTTTTTTAATGGAACACCCTCTAGACTTTAACCTAAAAAGATAATACGTTATTTATTTTCAAAAATGTGACATTCACTTGGCAGGTTTTTTGAAAATTTTAAATGAAGCGATATAATTATTATATGATATTATGAAATAAGATGAAAAATTTTTTATCGTCTCCTACTTTAGCTATTTTCAAAAGTGCCCCGGGATATTATTGGCAGGTATGACGCTGCCGCCCATACTAAAGTGGCGCTCGGGGCGGACCGTCCCTTCGCACCCCCCACTCTACGCCACTGCCCCCACCTCTCATATTTTATGAGCTGCATCAAAATGATGAAAAATTGATACGAGATTGCTATGCATGTATTTTTTATGCATTGAGTATATTTTAGAAAAAAAGTACTTAAACTAAGGTATACTTTAAAAGTATACCTTAACTTAAACATGAATCGTACGCCCTCTAGCGGCGAAGCTAGAAACTTGAAAATAATTTCCAGCGATTTCTCTTGGCCCCTTTTGTTAACAACATTTTTTTCCCGAAGCGGTGGAATTAACGGTTCCATAGATATGGCCTGTGACCATTATTAATGGAACACCATGTACAAAAAATTCAAAATATTTAATAAAATTCAAAAGTTTTTTGAAATATTTCTTGAATTTTTTGAAATCGTTTAAATCTTTTTTTTAATATGATCATCGCGTGTTGTATTTATCTGCATATTTCATATATCATTTTTGATATACATATATTAAAGAATTTAATCTATGTATTGGATAAAGATGGTTTAATATGCTATCCTTAATTCTAGATTAATCTCTACAGGGTGTCCGATAAAAAAATAAGGTTAGGTCCGATAATTATTTTACCTAGTCTCGTATAAATATTCTGAAAATGGCAGTTTATTGAACAATCATTGTAATAAACATTTTTCTGTATTTCTTTTAATTAAATTAAAATTTTAACTCTCGTATCTTGTACGCAAGCAAATATTTTCAAATTGTGATTTTACCATTTCACGTTTGACCCAAAAACAGCACACGACGCCTATAATTACTGTTTTGATAGGACTGATAATTACGGATACACGTTATAAGTATCAAAAATGGAACACCCTGTATAAGGACATCTCGTAGATTTCCCAGGAAGAAGTTTGGTAAATATCCACCGATTTAGGTACCTATATACATACTAAATGGGTGATGGTGTACAAAAATTGTATCCGTGATTTTTCCCTTGTAATGTTTTTCTTTATTATTACGTATACAGGCTGATTCAAATTCGAGGACCACCATAGGGATCTCGGGAACTGTAAGAGATAGATATGTAGTTTAAATTTGGCAAAGTTGCGTATTTGATGTTTAACAAAATGCAGTTTTGAAACTTAAAAAATTCCGACTACTCTCGGAGATATCCGAAAAAAAACGAAATTTTGCAAAATCGTTTTTATTTTTTACTGAAGTTAGGTAGGTATTTAAAAAGATATTTCGAAATAAATAACACATTATTATGGCCACTTTTTTCCCTCTACAAGATGCTAGTTTTAAATTTTAAGTGTGACGTGTATCATTTATTTCGAAATATCTTTTTGAATAGGTACCTAACTTCAGTAAAAAATAAAATTTTGTTTCGGCTTTTTCCGGATATCGCTGAAAGTAGTCGGAATTTTTTAAGTTTCAAAACTGCATCTGTTAAGCATCAAAATACACAACTTTGCCAAATTTAAATTACCTATCTATCTCTTACAGTTCCCGAGATCCCCATGGCGGCCCTCGAATTTGAATCACCCTGTATATGGGTGCCACGTTTATTATTTGCAGGGTGTTTTCCCTAATTCCTGTGCTGGTTCTAAGAGGCAAGTTTGATTCAATTCAATTTTTCTACCATTTTCGTAAAAATACTGTAGTGACATACCTGCCTACCCTATAGGTACTTGAAAAAATGGCACTATGGAAAAAATACGAAACAACAACTGCGATACGTCCTAGCGACTTCGACCGTTTTGCCCAAATGCGAAGAACACGGCGAAGCTTGGCAGAAAGTTAGCGTCGGTAACGGGATTCCGCTTCGAGATCTCGAGTAATGGCGGGTGTAGCGTGATGACGTGTCAGGTTTTTACCGATATTTATTTATTTATTTATTTTTTTTTTAATATCTTACATGTATTTAAAAAAAATTATTTTTTCTATTTCGGTGTCACAATGATGATTTTGTACAACTGTTTTCGGCCGAAAACAGTTGTACAAAGACAGTGATTATAGTCGTTTTTTTTTGGGTAACTCATCTCTTAAGTTGGCAGTTACTAGTTAGTACAAGTAGGTACTTCGTTGGGTACTTCCATGTTTGAACTTCAAAATGTCAGTCTTACTACGCTGCCAACCTAAAACTTAACGGCATAAAGTGTTCCCAACATAAAACATGTTAGTTCTAATGTTCCCTATAGTTTCTGATAATGATTTTTTTAATTAAATTAAAGCACCGAAATAGAAAAAATAGTATGAAAAACGCGTGTTACAATGCTTTATTGTAATACTCCTATCTTGCGGACACTCGTGGCTACGCTTCGCGTCGCCACTCGTGCCACAAGATAGTCGTATTACAATAGGTCGCATTGTAACACTTGTCTTTCAATATACTATTTTCTATTTCGGTGTCACAATGATGATTTTGTACAACTGTTTTCGGCCGAAAACAGTTGTACAAAGACAGTGATTATAGTCGTTTTTTTTGGTAACTCATCTCTTAAGTTGGCAGTTACTAGTTAGTACAAGTAGGTACTTCGTTGGGTACTTCCATGTTTGAACTTCAAAATGTCAGTCTTACTACGCTGCCAACCTAAAACTTAACGGCATAAAAAGTGTTCCCAACATAAAACATGTTAGTTCTAATGTTCCCTATAGTTTCTGATAATGATTTTTTTAATTAAATTAAAGCACCGAAATAGAAAAAATAGTATGAAAAACGCGTGTTACAATGCTTTATTGTAATACTCCTATCTTGCGGACACTCGTGGCTACGCTTCGCGTCGCCACTCGTGCCACAAGATAGTCGTATTACAATAGGTCGCATTGTAACACTTGTCTTTCAATATACTATTGTTTGTTCTATTTGAAAAGTGTAATTAGAGGTAGCAATCATTTTATTCTTTCTTTTACTAACTTACAATTTTTTCGTTGTTATTTTGCGTTAAAATATCGCTTTTTATTCGGACATACTTTCATCCATGTTCGCTATGAAGCGGCGTAGGTGTAAATTTTCCTATGTTTAGCAAAATACAAATTTAAAACCATTTTTTTTAACGGCTTCACATTTGCTTAGAAGGATGGCGTTCTGCAAATTTTTGTTTTGAATATCGTCCCTGAATCATTTTTTTGGTGTTGTACTGTACCGTGTATTCTATTTTGGTTGAGACTGCAGTGTATTTCAGCATGTTTTTAAAGATAAACTTGCGAGTAACGCAATCCAATTTGCTTGAAAGTCGAGTGTTCCCGAGCGGTTGCGAACATTCTAAAACGAAACACGTCATATTTCCTGGAAATATTACATCGGCCTTCGTTCTTTATCGCCGATGCCAAATATTTCATGGCGCCTCGATGCATATCGAATTTTCCGGAATGTTCGCTACAGTACCATTTTTCACATTAAATGTAGGTAATCTTTTTTCCTTATTTACATTGGGTGTTTTATTTGTGGTAGCAGTTGGGTTTGACCCCTAATTACGGATGTTTAGATGATTTTAAACAATTTCGGTAATTTTTAAATGGATGGTTCGGCTAGAATAACATTACACGGCACAAATGGAGCACATCAATTACGGGTGCCTACGTGATTCTAATACCCCTCCAGTACGATCATGAAATTAATAAAAATGGCTAGTGATTAAGCGTTTTCAATAACAAATTGCGGGAGAAGCCTTAAATTATTCACAATTTTAATTTAAAGTTTAGTTCATTTCGTCGAAATCTGGGGTTATGTCACTTATTTCGCAATTCTTAAGTTGGTGAAACTGGAAAATCTGAAGTTGTAGTGTACTTAACACGGAAATAAAGTCAAACCGGCAACGTTTAAAAATGGCCACCCGAATGACTATTCCTCCAAAACTAAACAAGATCCCGCTTAAATTTGAAAAGTGGCACGTATGTTAATGACCACCGTTAGTTGTAAAGAACGCTATGACCTGAAGCACAGTAGGGAAGGAACGTAAAATAAAACACTCAAATTGTGAAAAGTTTGTTTAATAATTATCGTTATTATTATGATTGTAAAAGCTCGGAAATTTAAGTCGAAATAAATTACATTGCAAAAATAAACTTTGAAAATGGTAGTTCACCGAATAAAAATAGAAATAGGCTGGGAAAAAAAGAACTTACCAATAAAAAAAACAGCCATCAAATTAATGTCAAATTGTGTTGTACAATTAATTGTTTGTAATGATGTGAATGCGTAACATAAAATTATAACATCACAAAAGTAGCAGGTAAACTTCAAGAGGTAACATATAGGTTAAAAACAAGTTTTGGGAATTATGGGTCAGGTAAGCAGGTACCGAGAATTTTGACTACAGTTTTTACCACCCCCGTTACTGCTTCATTCACGGAGAAAATGGTTAGTTACAAACAACAAGTCAGTACATACATTAAACGAATCGGTAATTTCCACATATTAAAATAAAATGATCTAAACTTATATGAATGTTACTTCAGGAACAAGGCCAAGTAATCAACATCAATAATTAACATAAATTAAACAAGCATTACACCAAAAACGTACGCAATTACAAACAATAGCATAACGGTATCACATATTATGTGATTCTGCATTGCGGTTAAACCAAGTAGGTAAATTTCAAAAACAAAGATTCAAACACAAAAATATAAAATGCGGTATACAACACACAAATACGATATAAAGAAATGCAAAAATTACTACCTGCATTAAATAACACAAAACATCAACAAACATTTATGGAGAGACGCGTTCGCCCATCACACAATGAAAAAAATAAGGAATAAGAAAAATGAAATATGGAATAAGAAATAGTGACGCAACCCTCGTCCGTGCTATCTAGGTGGCGCAGGCAGCTTTTCCCCACCTAGAAATTGCATGGTTGCCAACTCTCAAAAATGTATGTATCGGCGTAAGTTGTATATACAGGGAGGAACCTCTCAACACATTAAAAGACATGAAAGATAAATTGAGATAAAACAGCTAGTAAAATGATAAACTGCATGTACACAAGAAACATCAAAATGGCGTGGCTTTACTCCAGCCTCCGTTAACATAAATTAATTTAATAAGAAAGTGTGAAAGTCGATTATCGCGCATGCAAAAAGTATTATAAATAGAGGAAATGTTTTATTTAATTAATTTATTTATTATCCCTCTCTTGTTCTGGACCCTCAACAGGCATGTTAATCAAAGGGCCCCTAAAGTCTCATTGCTAAGCTACAAGTTGTGCAATCCGCATGAGACGAGCGGGTAACAGATACAGCGAAGAATCGGACTGTATTGGGCGAGGTATTAGGTACCCACTCCACGAAGACAATGGTTCTCTTTTCCACGGAGATAAATTGTTAGATCAAGCATCCAGGACGACATCGTACTGACAATTCACCTACAGGTGAATACACATCATACAACAAACAACCATGATTCAGATACCTAACGGTACATAAACAAAACCTTGAGTTAGGCCATGTTTAGATATCGGCATTTTATGCAACATATGTAAATAATAACAAATTCTGACATGAAACCTCTAGTCTGCATCTGCGCGCAAATCGGTCGAAATCTAAAACGTAGCACGATGTAGAGAACTACTTAACGCTATTATGGTATGATTAGAAACACAGTTTTAGTTGTATAACATTCTTTTGTGTTTATTAAATTTTGGAAAAATAACATAACCTCTTAAGAGGCACTCAGGGTCAGGTGTTACGCGCACTTACCAACTTAAAAGTTGGTAATCATGAAATTTGGAGTAATATGTAACCTCACATTTCGAGGAAATGAACTGAACTTTAAATAAGGTTGTGGAAAATTTCGGGTTTCTCGCGCAATTTTTATTTGTTGAAAACGCTGAATTAAGGTGCCTTCTATTAGCCAGTTTTATTATAATTTCATGATTGTATCTGTGTTGTATAAGCGCAATTACGCCTATATTGGTAGGTTGTGCGCTATCATACCATGCGTGAAGTTGCGCAATTTAAAATGCCCAAAATGTTTGTTTGTTCCTTGTATAGGTATAATGCTCACACTTTACGGAGCCTTTGGACTTTTCACATTCTACGCTTCTTTCATGTTACTGTTAAATCTACCTGATGACATCTTTTATCTCAGAGAAAGCAAATGTATTCAAATAGGTGACAGACCGGACCAGAAATACCAGCTTTTCTGTATTTTTTCTCAATGCACAAGTACTAATGCGTTCAAAAATGAAGCTGATGTCGAGTCACCTTTGGAATTTTTGTTTCCAGGGAAAAAGGCGACTAGATCGTCACTCATTGTTGATCGCCCGTTACAACTTTATTAAATATCGAATTCAGCTTTCAACCAGATTAAAAACATGTAGTATTCTACCCCTAGATCATATTATGATCTAAGATTCTACCCCTAAATTTAAACGAATAAACTAATTATTCATGGCGCAGTTTGACATCATTTTTGAGACTGGTGCCGTCTCGTCGGCGATCGACGTATAAAGAGTAGTTGCGACTTGGAAAAATACTCACAGTACGATCCGAATACGTGGGGAGTTTAATCAAAAACAAGCACAAAAGCGAAAAAAGTTTCGGAATGTTCAATTGTTAATTTGAACGAGGCGCGTTTCCACCTATTCTAGAAAGTGGACCAATGCGCACGCTCGAAATTAACCGCTACGTCAGTCTCGCCATTTTGATTGTCGCAAGGACGGTCGTTTGTTCGTTGATTTTTTTTGTCTATATAAAGTAAGTCCGGTTAATTAGTTCGTCTGATCGATCCGTACGTTATCTTATCGAAAAAAATGTGTCGATTGTTGCGGAACGGTTACTGATTTGTGTACGTTCGAGTGCTAATAATATTATTATTGTAAGTATTGTTTTCTAATAATTTGACATTCGACGAAAAGTAGGTAGATGCAAGATTGTTTTCATTTCCTAATTACGCCCGTAAATTACATGTAATCATCCTCAAACCACTTAAAACTATCTAAATATTTTAAATTAATGGAGGTCAGTAAGACATATTTGAAGTTGTCAATTTTAAGTGAAACCGATTTCGCTGTCATTCAAAAATAACCCAAAAACTCTCCTCGAAACGTCACGGCCCGCGATTCTAATTGCCCGTTTTCCAGTCGTAGGCGAAGGCACCTCCGCACGAAAACCAATGGAAGAGTTGACCAATTGTTTCGGTGGACCTAATCGCTCAGCTGTCTGTGAATTATCAAGGTCATCGGGCAATTTTGTTTGATTACAATTTGAAGAGGGCGATCGGTCGGCCCTGAAAATCTGACACACTTTGACAACGTCGGGAGCACCACGCAGGTAAACTTAAATGTTGCGATAGTATTGATGTTGTTGGTCCGGATTGGACGACTGCCAGTGCCCAATACGAGAATTGGCTTCCTTTCAAGGACCATTAATTTTTTTTTGTTCGCGAAGGACAACAAAACCACAATCCTTCGGGCGTTTGTAATGCAATATGTACTCGTGAGACTTGTAATTCGAGATTAAGTTGTCTTTCATCTCGTCTTTATTGTAATAAAAAAAATGACATCAATTTCACACTTGACTACCAAATAGCTATTCTACGTTCTATTTATAATGTCGGGACATGGTTGTGTAATTTTTTTCTATTATGCATGCAAGAATCTTAGGAATTTGTGCTGTTTTACAATGCATTTCATTCTCTTTAATTGGGCACCGCTAATTGACATACCTACAGAATGCCGAAACCCGAATTTATACCAGGCTCTAGTCTTGTGGATTGTGGAATTACATAAAATGACCTTAGGGGGTAATTGAAAAATATATCCCTCGAAATTTGTTAATCAATTGCATAAGACACCTTCATGGAGGTAAGTACACCAAATACAGTTAGATGATTGGGCAGATCAGGAACCCATCACCACTGTTTCCTGTCAAGCGGTCTTTGGTTGAAGTCGTGTCAAAAACAAAACATCTACCTCAAAACACCACAAAGTATTTTTTCGTGGTTTTTCTGTTTGTCATAGGTATATTGCTTTATTCAAGGCTTTATTTCAATAGCAAAACCGAGGTATGCTACACTAGTAGAAGTATGGAGGGTGTCCAAAGAAAGAATATAGGTGTCGTGTGCTCTTTTTGAGTCAAATTCGAATGTAAAAAAAAAATGTAAAATCAAAACTTGCTAATATTCATTCGCTTAAAAGATGGGGGGGGGGGGGTTAAAAATTGTCAACCTAACCTCATGGGACACCCTGTAGATTTTAAACCAAATGGATATTAGCATAATAAATTCATCTTTTCAAAAATATAACACGTGATGAATCGCATTCAAAAAAGATTGAAGTAATCCATCCAGATGAAATCTTGAAACTTTTTTGAAATTCCTTTATTATCCTCTTGAAACTATCCTGAAATCTCGAATTTTTTTTAAATCTCGAAATCTTATTGAAATCTGCCTGATCTTCTTCAAATCTTTAGGAAATTTTTCTGAAATTCTCTGGAAATTTTCTTGAAAGCTCAATGTAATCTTTTTTACCGTTTCTTCCGTTCTTAAAATCTTGAAATGTTTCAATTTTCCTTGAACTCTTTGAAAGAAATTTCCTTGAAATCTTAAAATTTTCTAGAAATCGTTTCGAAACCTCGAAATCCTCTTGTTATACTTTCAAAATTTTCGTGAAAATTTCTTGAAATCCTGACCTCTTTTTGCAATCTTCTTGAAACCTCCTTCAAATCCTCTTTAAAATTCCCTTGGGATCTTAAAATCCTCTTAAAACTCGTTAGTCATCTTTTTGGAATCTTAGTCTTGCTTTGTCTTCAAATCTTTCTGAAATTTTTCTGTAATCCTCTTGAAATCTTGAAAACACAATGCGCAATCTTTTTTTAATTTTCAAATCTTGGAAATCGTTTTGAAATCCTCTTGAAATTTTTTGTAGTCATCTTGTAATCTTCAAATTTTTTTCAAATATTTTTCAAATCCCTGAAATGTTTCCGAAATCCTTTTGAAATTTTCTTGTAATCTTTTGGTCTTCTTGAAATCTTAAAATCTCTCATCTAGAAATCTGTTCGAAATTTTCTTGAATTTAAATCTTTCCCTTTGGCATACGACAGTACATAGGACGCGTCATACATAAAAAAAACATTAAACTCACGTGAAATCTTCGTGTGATCTAGTTGTAACTTTGCAATCTTTTTAAATTGTATTGAAATCTTAAAAAGTTTTTAAAATCTGAAATTCTGCTTGAAATCTTCCCGATATCTTGGAATCTATAAACTTTCTTGAAATATTTTTGAGATTCCCTTGTTATTCTCTAGAAATTTACATTCTTTTGAAAACTTGGCATTTTTTGAAATCTCGAATTTTTCAAAATTGAAATCTTGAAATTTTCTTAAAATCCTCTAGAAATCTTAAATTTCCTTAAACTTCTAGAAATAATTTTGAAATCCCGAGATTTTTCGAATTTTTTTTAAAATTCTTTGGAACTTGAACGCTTCGTGAAATACTGAATCCTCGAAATTTTTTGAAATCTTGAAATTTTTTGGAAATTCCTTTGTGATCCTCTTGAAATCTTCCTAGTCTGTTTTTTTTCGGCAGGAGAAAGCGTGACTCTAGTGTACTTCTCTGTATGGCAGGTCTTATTTTTAAGATTAGGGTATTATTCCTAGACACTCTTTAATTTTTTTTGTTTTTTGTTAAAAGACAAACAAACAATGTTCAAGGTGTCTCAGTGCAAATCTTGAAGTTCCTCTGGAATTTTTCTTGAAAGCTCAATGTAATCTTTTTGAAATATTGAATTCTCTTTTCTGAGATCCTCTTAAAATCTGATGTTTTTTGCTGTTCTGAACCTTCTTGAAAACGCATTGTGCATTTTTTTAAAATTTTGAAATCTTGGAATCTTCCTGAAATCCTTTTGAACTCCTCTTGAAATTAATCATCTTGTAATTTTTTGAAATATTTTTCAAATTCCTGAAATTTTCCCGAATTCCTTTTGAAATTCTTTAGCAATTTTCTTCTTTTTCTTCTTGAAATTCTCTTAAAAACCCCTTGATATCTCTCATATATCTGTTTGAAATTTTCTTGAAATCTTAAAATACTGATTTCGAAATATTCTTGTTATTCTTATGAAATTTTCTTGAAATCTTCGTGTGATCCAGTTGTAACTATGCAATCTATTTAAATTGTATCGAAAGCTTTTTGAAATATTTTTCAAATCTTTTTGAAATCTTGAAAAGTTTTTAAAATCTGAAATTCTGCTTCGATATCTTGAAATCTATAAACTTTCTTGAGATTCTCTTGTTATTCTCTTGGAAATTTCTTGAATTCTTTATTCTTGTAACCTTACATTCTTTTCAAAACTTTAAAATCTTAACATTTTTTGAAATCTCGAATTTTTGAAAATTGAACTCTTGAAATATTGAAATTTTCGTCAAATCCTCTCGAAATCTTAAATTTCCTTGAACTTCTAGAAATAGTTTTGAAATCTCGAGGTTTTTCGAATTTTTTAAAAAATTCTTTGGAACTTTCTTGAACGTTTCGTGAAATACTGAATTTTCGAAATTTTCTTTAAATCTATTTCGATATCTGCTTGAAGTTCTCTCGAACTTTTCTTGAAATTTATGTGTCGGATTCATACATAGATTTTTTTTTAAACTTAAAATCTTGACATTTTTAAAATCTCGAATTTTTCAAAATTGAAATCTTGAAATTTTCTTAAAATCCTCTAGAAATCTTAAATTTCCCGGAACTTCAAGAAATAGTTTTGAAATCTCGAGATTTTTCGATTTGAAATTCTTTGGAACTGCCTTGAACCGTTGAGTGAAGGATTTCTTCACTCAACGCTTGAACGGTTCGTGAAATACTGAGTTTTGGAAATTTTTTAAAAATCTGTTTCGATATTTCTTGAAATTCTCTTTTAGCCCCTTGAACTTTTCTTGAAATTTATGTGTAATCTGCTTTAACCTTGCAATTTTCTTAAAATCATCTTGAAATTTTCTTGAAAGCTTCTTAAAATGCTTTTCAAATCTTAAAATAATGATATGTTTTTCAAATGTTCAATTTTTCTTGCTCTTAAAATCCCCATGAAACTTTGAAATATCGAGATTTTCTCGGAAATATTCATGAATTCAGAATTCTGATCGACATTTTTTCAAAATCGTCTTAAAATCCTTTTGAACTTTTTTAAATCCGTGAAATTTTCGCGAAATCCTTTTGAAATTCTTTTGCAATGTTCTTCTTGAAATCTTCTTAAAATCCCCTGTCTCCCATCTTGAAATGTTAAAATACGGATCTTGAAATATTCTTGTTATTCTTTTTAAATTGTATTGAAATCTTTTTGAAATTTTGAGTTTTGACTGGCCATTGTTTTTTGTTCGGCGGCAGGAGGAAGCGTGACTCTCTTGTAGTTCTCAGTATGGCAAGTCTTGGTGAATTGTTCTTAGACACTCTCCCACTACCAGTGACACACACTGAAATCTCCTGTGAGAGGAGTTTTAATTTTTTTTTGTTTCTTGTTAAAAGACAAACAAACAAGGCTCAAGATATCTAAGTGCGAACCTTGAAGTTTAAATGACAAAACTTTGTAGGTAGTGGAGCAAGTTCAAAGGCCTGATTGTCACGCATAGAATCTGCGGTTAATAACTTTATCATCTGCTTGGCAAGCATAAATTATATCATCTATTTCATAATGATTGATATAGAATATGGAAAATAAACATACACGAATAACTTATTACGTAACCGTCTCTATTATTTACGTACGAAAAACATCTACGTAATATTTGAATACAATTACCTTTTGTACGGTTTTATGTTCCAAGGGGATTTGAAACAAAGTCCCACATCAGATCACATTATGTCAATTGCGACAGAATACATTCATGAAAAAGTTTCGTAAAGGAAGACTATTGACAACTTGTCATATGGATCATTTTTTTAGGTTAAAATGGAGCTAAACGAGCAACCGAATTCTATATGTCACGTTCAAGCGATTCAAATGTACCAGTTGCCGAACATTAAGACGCAAATAGATTTACCGTTCGCACTGCTGAACGGCGAGGCGGTCATGCACTTCGGTAATTCAGTCGACGGCCTGCTCGTGTTGACGAACTACCGTCTGTTCGTGAGTCTGTGCGACAGTCAGCACCACGTGCCGCTCGGACTGATCGAGGTGGCCGAGCACAAGGACCTGTTCTATCTGCATATCGGCTGCAAGGACGCGCGGACCTATCGGTTGGTTGATCCGACCCGAAACCTTTGATTTAGTGCGAAAGTTGCAGGTGTACCTTCGATAATAACGAAGTATGCATGGATTGGTTCGGACGTCTGCTGAAGACCTACTCGCCGCCGAGACAGTTGGAGGAGCTGTTTGCGTTTTTCTACTACGCGTGGACGAAGGAGAAGGGCGACGATGCGTACGCGAAGATGGAGTGCAATCGGAACTTGGTCTATGACGAGAGTGCGTTTAGGAATGAGGTGAGGATGATGTCGGTTCGTTAAATACTCAGCGGTTGTGTTTCAGGTCGAGAGGTTGAAGTTCGATTTGCACGGAGCGTGGCGGATCAGTTCGGTTAATAAAAATTATAAGTTGTGTCCCAGTTATCCGCCTCAACTGCTCGTGCCCGCCTGTATTACGGATGACACGCTCGAGATCGTCGCGAAATTTAGAAGTTCAAGGCGAATTCCAACTGTAGTGTGGAGGTGAGACTTGTTTATTTTGCAGGTTCTGTACAATTTGCAATGAAAGGGTTTGAGGTAGGAAAAGAGGTCACTCTTGGTCAGTACGCGTGCAGGAAATCCAAGATGGCGGCTGAATTTTGTATTTTTCGTTTGAATAACTGTTATTTCAATGAAATTTGGCAACCATGTGTAAAATACAACGATAAAAATAACCATTAACGAAATGGCGGCCATTTTGATATTTAGCCGCCATTTTGAAAATAATGAAGTATTTTTATTTTTGTATATAAATATGATAATGGGTATAGAATCACTCAAATTGCACAAAACTGAAGAATGGAATTGATGCGAAAGGTGATTCCTAGTTGAAGCTTTAGAAGAGTGACCCAAATTCAGAACAATTTAGAGAATTTGAAAAAAACCAAAGAATTTGAAGAATGTTTTAGGAAAAAGAAGAACCCAAAGAAACTGAAAGAACTCCGAAGAAATGGATAAATCATAAATACACACACATCTGAATGCTAAACAAAATTTTAATCCAACCAAAGGTATGGTATCACCGAAATTAAATGCAAATTTTCCAATCAATGAAATAAAATGGCCAAAATCTTTTGTTTGAATCGAATCCAAATTCATAAATGTAATACAAATCTGTCCATGAAAGTAACTCATGGGTCGATTCCTTTAGGAATATTAAAATTACTTCAACCAAAATAATATGCAAATAATCGACCACTAGGTTATAGAACTCACAATGATAGAAAAAGTCACGCACAAACCGAAAATAGAATCATGAGCACTAAACTAGACAAGAGCAAAGTAATCTTGAAGGGTTAATTTTACGGACCTCAATAAATACGATTTAAAACTTCTTGCGAGACTTGCTCGGCTTTTCGAACAGAGGGGACAAGGTCTGGTACAAAAGTCACATTCAAGAAACGCAACTAAATCACTTCCTACCGAATCAGAGGGAATGATTCTCATTCACGCGCCTTGCCAAGTTCTGAAATCGCTTTGGTCACAACCGTACCCAGAGTCCTCTTATTGGACTCGAAAACCAATTATGCTCTCTGTCAACAAATGCATTATCACTTATTACTAATTAATAAAGGATACAAGAACAAATTCAACAAGATATTTTATGTCCCACATGAAACAAAACAAAAACCCCGGCCCATTGCACAAGCCAACGAAATCATAATTCCCTAAATTGCACAAACACCCAGTATATTAATTTTCAATGAAAGCTGCCACTGAACTATACTTATACTGGAGCGCGAACCGACGAGAGAGATAGCGCCCAAGTGGGATTTCTGTCACTGTCACTCGCGATCACTGTCAGTAAATACGTTGGATTAGTTTGGGTCCGATCATGGCCACCTAGATGCAATATTAAAAGTGGCTTAAAAAAAATCAAGTAGGCGTAAAAACTTTAGATAAGGTCACATTCCGATTCAGAATTGTTTCAGAAATCCAAAAAATGTAAAAATATACAGGGTGTTCAATTTAAAAATTCAAAATCTCGACCACAGGAAGTGGGCGGAAAAATCTGCAGGAAACTCCTCTTCCATTTACCTGTACCAAATCTCATTTTGATAGACCTAATACTCTAGAAATTATGGCTTGTCTAGATTCGTTGACACCCAGTATATAAAAGATTGTTCTACTCATGCGCGCAATGTATTTTAGTCATTTTTTTTAAATTTACTATGTAAGGGCTATTTTTCTGTGCAGGTACATATTCCATTTTGTTTTCTGTTAGTGAAAAAAGTAATGGTGCAACGAACTTAACAGTACATATATGTAAATAGAATTAATTCTAAATTTAGACGGCGGAACGGTGCGGTATTCTCGTGCGCCACCAGGAGATTCTCAAATCTTGCTCCTGGTAATTAAGCCAAAAGTTTCACCGTCAAAGTTGGAAATACGAAAGATCCCCCCTAAATCGCGCTCGTACCTCGTACCTAAAATGCGGAGACGGAACGCTGGATTTTCCAATAAGCTCGCGAACACGTATAACGCTCAAAATTCAAACTTCTTTAATTGCTCGCTTGCATGTCTTCTTAAAAATCTGGAAAACGGCTTAAACACCTTGATAAATTAGCGCGCTTCCAATGACAATAAACAGAGCCTAATTAAACGCCGTTTGCTACCGATAATTATGCTTACTTAATTGGCCGGATTGAAATTCCAAAATTTGGTAGTCCAGTTAACACTTGCAATTTTTGGAATCAGGCATAGGTCAACTAATTGTTAATAAATGGAACGAAAATCATAAAATATTAATTTTCTCAGGTTCTCCAAATGACGAGAGCTTTCAGAGGCTGCAACAATAATTTAAATATCACCGTGGGAACGGTTACAAAACGTACATTGTTTTTACCACCCGCAGTAAAGGAGGTACCTATTGCGTTGGGGTAAAAAATGCCCTTCCTTGTTGTCGGAAATACACGTTTTGAAGTATCAGGAATCCGAATCAAAGAAATCAATGATTTCGGTCTGTCTGTCTGTACTCTCATTTCCGGCTAAACGGTTGAGTCCATTGGAACCAAATTTGGTACACATATAAATAAATAAAAGGAAGAGCTTTTGGGCAGAATTTGTGCTGGCCACACCTAAAAAATGGGGTCTAGAGTTACGATTTTTAGTAATGAAGCGCACAAGAGTAGCTCTAGGGGCATTGATTACAAGGAAGCGAAAAAGCTATTGAAAACCTTGCAGGACATGTACTCACTTCTTTGGCGAATTTTATCCGAAAAATTAATAATCGCACTTTTTAATAAAGGCAAGTCGATCGATTATATTGAACTTTTTAAAAGCTGAGTGCGCGCATGTGCAGAAGTAAATTTCTTATTTGTGGATTAGGTGCTTCGCTCAATAGAAAGCGAACCGATGATTAAGAAGTAAGTACAAGGTCTGTCTGTGCATTGATACAGCGCCTCCAGCGTGATTTCCAGGGCGTCATGGAAAATCTCTTTCGGAATCTCCTTTAGAACTTTGGTGCAAACGTGATTGATCTTCTGAAACGACAATACAAAGCTGTTTCAGGCATGGGTCGATTCCTTTAGGGACATTCAAATTACTTCAACCAAAATTAATATGCAAATTCTTAAAACTAATCGACCACTACTTTATAAAAATCAAAAAATTAATGATACCTTACAGTAAAATTGACGGGGAGATTTCTATCACGTTACAAATACTGTTTGGATAAATTTCCATCGCTAAATTTCAATTTCTGTGCACTTAAAATGGTACGCGATGGTTGGCGAAAATAAACTCCGACTTCTCTCACAATTAAAACTCGCCCGGTAGAAATACCGAAACGGGACTATCTATCTGAATGAAACGATCTCCATTAGCGTACCCAGTTAAGCGAATAGTAAATCGGCATTTCCGTCACCTGCTCAGCTTTAAACAAAGCTGAACGAAACTTTACATCCCAAGAGATCGCTAGGTATCGCCAGACGTATTTTCGTTTACGTTCGCTATGAAGCCGTACACAATACAAATTCGAAAATTCGACCACCCGTTACAAAGAGCCAAAAGGATGAGAAGGATTCGTATAATCTGATAAATCTTTAGCATCCGAAGCATGCGAAAGGTTAAAGAATCTGACGAATTGGGAAAATTTATAACAATCCAAACAATACGGCAACATTATCATAATGTGTACTCGGGCATAAGGGGGGAGGAGTGGAAATTTAATCTTGCTTCAGTTCCTGGCCAAGGAAAGCAGTTCTAGACAGGTGCAAATCATTTACAATTAAAATAGAATCATGGGCACTAAAGAAGTGAAGGACCTCAGTGAAGATCATTTGAAACTCCTTGCTAGATTTACTCGGCTTTTTGAACAGAGGGGGCAAAGTCTGAGGCAGAAGTCAAATTCAAGAAACTCACTAAACGCTTCCTACTGAGTCAGAATCCTTCATATGCCCTGTTGGTTTTGAAATCGCTTTGGTCACAACCATATCCAGAGTCCTTTTATTTGGAGATCAAACGCGTCTCCAGATTGACCTCCGTGTCACGTGAGAACCCCGCATCTCTCTCGCTCGCCATTGAATTGTCAAAATTTGAAGAAAATTGTTATACAGGGTGTCCCTAAAAGGTCTGTACAACGCGCTACCAGGGGTTCTTGGTATCAAAATAGGACGATTTAACCCAACTTACCTCTATCCAAAAGTGCCTCGGTAAGGCGCTATCTACCGCCAAAGATTTAAAAAAAAATCGTTATTTTTATTTTATCGGAAAATGGTTTTGCCGATTAAAATGAAAGTCGGGATGTGAATGTCTAATGTAAAAAGGGTCTTTGTGATATCATCGTTTTGATTGTAGTTGCTATGTAGGTGGTAAAATACTGACCATCCACATCTGAAGAGGTCTAAAACTTTTTAACTACTATTTTGACGGTTCTGAATTTTTAGACACTGATAGACAGTTTACTTGCAAGCATTTTTTGTCTCTTGATGAATATCGCTATCTGTGATGGTTTACGAAAAAAAAAATTTAGGCATGATGAATGGCATGCACCATACATGCGATTGTTCCTCAAAAAATCAGAAGATGGCTGTGAAACCTTAGAGTGGCGTAACGTTTGTTTGTTGTTTCTTAAACTTGAACAATTTACGTTTTGCTTGAAGACTTAAAATTTCATTGTTAAAATTGTAATATGGCCTTTCAATACAGTAACGCAGAGTTAACTGATATGCTATTAGTGTTTGGATACTGTCGTGGAAATGGTCGCCAATGCGTTAGGGAGTATACTCACAGGTTTCCAAATCGTCATAGCCTACTTCTTGCTTGCACTTATGGTTTTTGAGGAACAATCGCATGTATGGTGCATGCCATTCATCACGCCTAAATTTTCTTTTTTTCGTAAACCATCACAGATAGCGATATTCATCAAGAGACAAAAAATGCTTGCAAGTAAACTGTCTATCAGTGTCTAAAAATTCAGAACTGTCAAAATAGTAGTTAAAAAGTTTTAGACCTCTTCAGATGTGGATGGCCAGTATTTTAGCAACTACAATCAAAACCATGATATCACAAAGACCCTTTTTACATTAGACATTCACATCCCGAATTTCATTTTAATCGGCAAAACCATTTTCCGATAAAATAAAAATAACGATTTTTTTTTAAATCTTTGGCGGTAGATAGCGCCTTACCGATGCACTTTTGGATAGAGGTAAGTTGGGATAAATCGTCCTATTTTGATACCAAGAACCCATGGTAGCGCGTTGTACAGACCTTTTAGGGACACCCTGTATATTATGAAAGACGGTTTTGCTCATGCGTGGAATGGATATTTGTCATTGTTTTTAAATTTGCGCATGTATGGGTTATTTTTCTGTAACATTGACGGGGCGGAATGGTATTTTTAGGGTTTTCAGCAATAGATCATTACCATCAAGTTATTCCTGCATTATTGAGTGTGAAAGCTATTAATCTACTACGTTGCGTTTTGACAGAAAATTGGTTAAGGTCGCATTTTCTTCGCAGACATCCCGGAAATGGCGCGGTAATCGCGAGATGCAGCCAGCCGGAGGTAGGCTGGCTCGGCTGGCGTTCCGCCGAAGACGAGGACCTACTCAAGGCGATCTCCGACGCGTGCGCTTTCGATCAGGGTCCGAAAAGTATGCTGGACAACACCCCACACTCGCCCACGTCCACCAACTCGGAGGAGTCGAGTCGAACGCAATCGACCGAGATCACTCTGAAAGAAAAGGTACGCCGATTTCGGCCCGCCCCCAACCAAAATTAATCGTCTTTTATAGAAGGTTCTGATTATGGACGCCAGATCGTACACAACCGCCGTGGCAAATCGAGCGCGGGGCGGCGGGTGCGAGTGTCCCGAGTACTATCCGAACTGCGAAATGCAATTCATGAACTTGGCCAACATACATTCGATACGAAAGAGCTTTCACGCGTTACGTCAACTTTGCATGAGCTCGGCGGATCTGCCCAATTGGTTTAGTTTGCTGGAGGGTACGCGATGGTTACAGCACATGTCGGGACTAATGAAGGCGGCGGTTACGTTGGTAAGTGCGGTGGATCGCGACTGCAGGCCGGTCTTGGTTCATTGCTCGGACGGCTGGGACCGCACGCCTCAAATTGTTGCACTGGCCGAACTGCTCCTGGATCCGTTCTATCGCACTCTTACAGTGAGTATTCGTCTTCAGTCAGATGTGCTGATCTAACCTCACATTTTAGGGTTTTCGCATACTGATCGAGCGTGAGTGGTTGGCATTTGGGCATAAGTTTGCGGACCGCTGCGGACACGCGACGGGGAGCGACGATCAAAATGAGCGGTGCCCCGTGTTCCTGCAGTGGTTGGATTGCGTCCATCAGCTTCTACTACAGTTTCCATGCGCATTTGAATTTTCCAATACGTATTTGGTACGATCTACAGCTCATTTTTATACGTTTTTGACCGTGATTTTCAGGTGAAACTAGCCCAACATACGTATTCCAATTTATTTGGCACATTTTTATGCAACACCAAGCAAGAACGGGTCGAGCGAGTCAACGACAATACATTTTCGGTGTGGAGTTTTCTGAACGCGCCCAATTTCCGTAATCATCTGTACGCGTCGCCGCAGGAAGTCGCGCCCAAGACAACAGTAGGTGTACTCCGGAAACGCTAAGCGAGCATTAATTAATGACGGTTTTTCAGGTATTGTGGCCGCAGTGCAACGTGCGCGACCTACAGCTGTGGACGGAGGTTTATCTAGGCTCCTTGGAAATTCAAAATATGGTGGACACGGGTTCCGGCGCATGCCCCGGTCCTCCCAGCGCCACCTTGCATCAGATGACGAAAACTCGCTCGTACGGTGATCTGGTCTGTGCCGCCGATCAATGTCGGACGACTAACAGGAGAAAAAGTGATCCTAGTATTACTATCGATATCATGTGAGTTACTTTCCCCTTTTTGAAATCACCGAAGAAGTAAAAGTTTAGTTGGTCTTGGAAAGTAAAATACATTTTGTAGATACTGCTATTTATGCGGTTAATTACAAGAGAAGAGATATTTCTAGGTAGGCTTTTATAAAAGATTACAGTCTTATGGAGTTTTCTTACAAAAATCACGGTCGCGCACGTTTACTTCAAAACGCAAAAAAAAAAATTGTAGAGGACTAAATTTGCCACAAAAAAAAACTGCTATGATCATCTTCAATTTTATTTAAATAATAACTAAGTGTATTGCTGTGTGCAATGTTTAAAGCTAAAAGACTACAGTCTTATATAGTTTTTTTTACAAAAATTACGGTCGCGCACGTTTACTTCAAAACGCAAAAAAAAAAAATAAATTGTAGAGGACTAAATTTGCCACAAAAAAAAACTCTGCTATGATCATCTTCAATTTTATTTAAATAATAACTAAGTGTATTGCTGTGTGCAGTGTTTACAGTTAAAAGACTACAGTCTTGTATAGTTTTCTTATAAAAATCACGGTCGCGCACGTTTACTTCAAAACGCAAAAAAAAATTTTAGAGGACTAAATTTGCCACAAAAAAAACTACTATGATCATCTTTAATTTAACTAAAATAATAACCAAGTGTATTGCTGTGTGCAATGTTTAAAGTTAAAAGACTATGGAGTTTTCTTACAGAAATCACGGTCGCGCACGTTTACTTCAAAACGCAAAAAAAAAAAAATGAAATTGTAGAGGACTAAAAAAATTCAAAAAATTGAGGTTAAGATATACAGGGTGTTGCATTTAAAAATACCAACTTGGGGCCAAATCTCAGAAAAGGGTGACAAAAAAAATTGTGTTGACTACGCCAGTACTACTACGTAAAAATATCTAAAATAGTCAGTTGTTACCTTTTTTTAGAAAGATATGATAACCTCCCAAAAAGTCAAACTTTTCGATTTCACCATGTATCTCGGAAACAAACCTTGTATCCATATGTGCTTTTCATTCATTCATTTTTGCTGTCAAGTATTGTAAATACCAATACCGTAAGTATACGTGTTATAAACATTTGTACTCCTCCTTCGCGGAGGTACTGTAAGAAATTTAGTTCCCTATCTTGTTTGATTTCGAAATAATTGCGCGCGATCATAGTTTTCGTAAAAAAAACACCATAGATCCAAGGCTTTCCGTCCTTTTCTGAGATTTGATCCAAAGTTGGTATTTTTTAAATGCAACACCCTGTATATCTTATCGTAAATGTTTTGCATTCTTTTTCGTTTTCCTAATTACGATGATGTATCACAACATATATTTTTTTTAATAGTAGATCATGGATATTTTGTTTTGTTTATTGTATCCAGGGTATCTAAGGCAACCGATACTAATCAATAAAATCTCTGATGGTCATTTATTTGAAAAATATATAATATACAGGGTGTTCCTAAATACGATGTAAATACGGAAGGACCTAACTTCTCAGCTTATTTGATGACTAAGAGTACATATAAACATTGGTCCGGGAACGCTTCATTACACGACCATTTTATAATTATACTGTCCTTTAGCTAAATAGCAAAAACTGATTTTTTTTCTCTTGATAACTGTAACATACGAAAAAATGGCAAGAAACCAAAAAGTTTGCGAACAATTAATTCAATTAGAAATTAAATTTCTGTTTCACACTACCAGTGGCGCACCGAGAAGTGTTCAGGGATAGAAAATGAAACATGATCCCTGAAAAAACAACACCCTGTAGATTCTCACTACCATTGACATGACCAATGATGTGAGTCCTTCGGCGTATATTTCAAATTTGAGCGAAAGAAAAGAAAAAACTTAAACAATCATGAAATTATAACACCCTGTAGATCGGTAACGAAGCATGCTTATGTTTATATGAACTTTTAGTCATCGTATAAGCCAAAGAATTAGCACTACTGTATTTAGATCATATTTAGGAACATAAATTTAGGTATATAAAAAAGTATAGGAATCAGGAAAAAAAAGCTAAAAATTGAGGTTAAGATATACAGGGTGTTGCATTTAAGAATACCAACTTTGGGCCAAATCTCAGAAAAGGATGTCAAAAAAAATTGCTACTACGCCAGTACTACTACGTAAAAATATCTAAAGTAGTTAAGATATGATAACGTCCCAAAAAGTCAAACTTTTCGATTTCACCACGTATCTGAGAAACAAACCCTGTATCCATATGTGCTTTTCATTCATTCCTTTTTGCTTTCAAGTATTGTAAATACCAATACCGTAAGTATACATGTTATAAACAGTTGTAGATAGACATATGCCTTCGCGGAGGTACTGTAAGAAATTTAGTTCCCTACAATTTATCTTCTACACATTTTTCCTATCTTGTTTAATTTTGAAATAATTGCGTGCGATCATAGTTCTCGTAAAAAAACACCATAGATCCAAGGCTTTCCGTCCTTTTCTGAGATTTGACCCAAAGTTGGTATTTATTAAATGCAACACCCTGTATATCTTAACGTAAATGTGTTGCATTCTTTTTCGTTTTCCTGATTACAATCAACATATATTTTTTGAAATAGTAGACCATGGATTCATGGAGATTTTGTTTTGTTTATTGTGTCCATGGTAACTAAGGCACCCGATACTAATCAATAAAAATGCCTGATGGTCATTTAAACAATTTGAAAAAAATATAATATACCGGGTGTTCCTAAATATGATGTAAATACGGAAGGGTCTATCTTTATGACTAAAAGTTCATATAAACATAGGTCCGGAAACGCTTTGTTACCGATCTACAGGGTGTTACAGTTCTGCTGTACACTTTATAATTTAAATCAATCATTTAAATTCAAAATTACAAGTGGCCAAAAAGTTTCTAAACAAATCAGGAAAGTGAATTCCTGTTTCAAGATCTACCAGTGACTTACCGAGAACTGTTCAAGGGTAGGAAATGGAACATTACCCCTGAAAAAACAACACCCTGTAGATTCTCAACTACCATTTACATGACCAATGATGTAAGTCCTTCAGCGTAGGTATATTTAAAATTTGAGGGAAATAACTCAAAAAAAAATACGAAGAAAAAACTGAAAAAAATCGTGAAATTATAACACCCTGTAGATCGGTATCGAAGTAGAGTTATGGTTATATGAACTTAGTCATAATATAAGCCAAAAAATTAGCCCTACCGTATTTAGTTCATATTTAGGAACATTCTGTATAATTAGGTATATGAAAAAACATCTAAGTCCTGAATTTAAAAATTCGTACCGGACGGTCAAGGAGAGATACGAAAAAACTTTACGTTGCGCGCGATTATCCCTCTCTGTGGCGCGAACGAATAGCAGGATGGCGGGGGCGCGCAATGCGAAGCGGAGCACGTAGTAATTTTTAGAAAAAAAGTGCGCTTTTTGGGGGCTAAAACGGATTTTTTCCAGGTAAAAATAGGAAATAGCGTTACGGAAAGGCGGCAAAGTCAAGAGGTCGTAGCGGCGGAACTAGGGAGTCGTATCGAGTTGAGATTTTTGTGTTGGCCTTACTTCGAGGACGTGGGGGGGGGGGGGGGGAGGACGGTTTTGGGACATTGGGGTGTTTTCAACGGGCCATATCCCCCCCCCCCCCTCCCGCGTAAAGGTACACTTTGGAGGGCCGTAGCGGGCGACCGGGAGGACGTATCGAGTTGCGGTTTTGAGTGTTGCCTTCGTGGTTGAACTGCGCTTCAGAGGCATTGGGTCGCATCCCCCTCCCACCTCCCTAAATTGCTCATAAAAGTAACTTCTTTTATTTTGGCGTGTATTCGGAAACGACGACATTTAGAACGATGCCGTTTTTTATGTTGCATTCCTATATCGATCGGTCGCGTTCTAAAATCGACGGCGATTTGAGCTCGCACTCCCCCATCCGGCTATCCCCCCTCCTTTGCGTAGAGTTAAGTTAACACGCCGTAACTGGAGAACGGGAGGACGTATCGAGTTGCGGTTTTGGCCGTTGGCCTCGCAGTTCAATTGCGCTTCCGAGGCGTCGGGTCGCCCCCCCCCCCCACCCACATTGCTTATACGTGGTAATTTTGGCGTTTATGCGGAAACGACGGGGGCTAGTTGCCGTTTTTAATTTGGATTACTATATCGTTGCGTTCTAGAATCGATGGCGATTCCAATAAATCCGAAGGCCAAAATGTGTCTTCTTTGTGTGTTTTAAGGTGCGAGGCGAAGCCGAGCAATGTGTCAACGGTCTTTATACAAACTTGGGACAGGGCGGCGTTTACATTCGTGGTATATGTACCCCCTCCCCCCAAATTCCTCTCTTCTTTTTTCATATTTTGGTGTTTATTCGCAGACGAGTGCTAGAACGATGCTGTTTTTAACGTTGGATTCCTATATCGATTGGCCGCGTTCGAGAATCAACGGCGATTTGACATTACACCCCCCTCCCCATACCCCTCCGCTGCGTAGACGCCTTATGACGCCTTAACGGGAGAACCGGTGGACGTATCGAGTTGCGGTTTTGTCCGTTGGCTTCGCGGTTCGATTGCGCTTCCGAGGCGTCGGGTCGCCCCCCCCCCTCTCCACATCGTTTATAGATGGCAATTTTGGCGTTTATTCGGAAACGACGAGTGCTAGAAGCATGCCGTTTTTTACGTTGAATTCCACTATGGCTGGGTCGCGCTCTAGAATCGACGGCGTTTTGTGTAAATGCGCGAGGCGAGACGGCGCAAGTCCCATATGGGTCTTCTTTTTTACACTTCTACCGTTTTGAACTACTAGGGGAATGGTCCTAGAGTCCTGGAATTTTTTGCAGTAGGTAGCCTATACCTTGAAGGTGTGCCAGACGGCCATTAAATTTCGCTGTCTGAAAGGGGGGCCCCCCCCCCCCCCGTGAATTATTTCCTGAGATGCTGTTTTTGAAAGTAAAACGTGCACAACTTTTACATATGACAAGCAATTGGTGGATTTTGCATACGCATGCCTTTAGTGGTGCCAAGTTAAACTTTAGAAAATTGCGCGGGGGGGGGGGGTTGTTAACACATGTTCTACCCTTCATGGTATTCTAATGAAAGGTCTCATCGAAATAAATTGGTTTGTACAAAGTGTTACTTTCCCGTGCGAGTCTTTTTCGAGATCAGTGAGCGACAGGGCCTGAGGGGGGGGGGGGTTAAAATTAATTTTATCTCATTGTATTCTAATTAAATGTCTCAACGAACGGAACCGTTTTCTACCAACTACTGCCCTTCTTTCTGTCCTCTTATCAAAGTACGGGCTAGAGTGAAGGGGTGGGGGGGTAGTGGAAATAGTTTAATCCATCATGGTACTCTAATGAAAGGTCTCAACGAAAGGAATTAATTTCTACCAACCATAGCTCTCCTCCTCGATCTCTTATCGTAATCGGGTATATACCTCAACAACGGAATGGGGTTGAATGGAATTGTAGTAATGAAACTCTAAACCTTCCCCATATAATTTTAAATTTAGATTTTTAGAGCCGAATCAAAATTCTTTTCCTTTTTTTTCCGCATTTGATAACGTGCCAATGATACTTAAAAACAAACCAAACTACATTATCACAACAATCAAGCAAACAAACAAAAAATTGACAAACGGAAAACAAACGGCGTTTACCTACTAACAAAATGGCGGTGATAGGTGCAGTTATTAATTAATATAATATTAATTAAATTAATTCGACATTAAATTTTACTACATCAAGTCTTATTTGCAGGAAAATGAACGGCATCAACCTAAACGAAACTACTTTACCTCAAGACGACGACCTCATACCTCAGTCTCAGGGAAACGGGCAGGTAACGAATGGGTTTTGCAACTCGAACGGCTGCATAACACCGACACCGAGCGAGTACCTAAACAGTGAGTTAGACGCGATTGATAATTGTAATAACGACTGCATTTACAAGAATAACTTGCAAGCGTTGAGCGACGATTCGGTCGATCTAATGGACTCGTCGAAGATGTTGACGAATTTAAATTGTGACGAAGGTAACGTAATTGCTCAAGAAGAAAGTGATACGACGAAGAGTGACGATAAATCAATTGATAGTCGTGATAATCATTTTGGAAGTAGTGCCGTTAGTTGTAGTAGTTCGGACGAAAGTGCTTTCAAGGTGAACTGTGATGTGATAAATAACCAAAAGACTGATAATAATGTTAACGAAACAAATTTAGATGCGGTAAACGTAGCGAAGCACCTTTGCGATGTCAACGGTTTTGAAAGTATATGTTTAAGACCGCCCTTTGACATTCCAAAGACTCATTTAAAAGGTGACATCAATCATAACGGTGATTTAAGAACGGCCGAACTCGATTCGGACACCGAGTGCACGGAGGCTAGTGAAAGTAGGTCGGAACGTACCTTAGCTCATCCGGCGAATCCTAGCGCGTTACATTCCGTCGAGACCAGCACGGAGACCTTGACTTCTGAAAATGTCACCTGCAAGTAAGTTGGCTCGCTTGCGCTTCTCACTTTTTGACTCTCTTTTGCAGTTCGATGCCAAAACAAATGAACGGATTTGAACGACTTTCAAGTCCCGACGTATTTAATGGAAATTTCGATTTCTGTAAAGTGTGCGCCCAAAATATTAAGTTTATACACGGCAAACATAGGTAACTATTTTTCTTTTTTTAATATTGGACAATAGAAACTAAACTGGAAGTAGTGTTAATGACTCCTGGAAAATACACAAATCTATAGCTATAAATTGTAGGCAAAATAAGCTCTTATCAGGTTCCTATACCACCTCTCATCAAATTAAGTGCACAACTTTGATTAATAAACTGAGTTTTTTAACGTAACTTGCAACTCCAAATATAGCGCAACGAAATTTTTTGCACCTTGGACCCAAACGCTTTCGTGGTAATAATTTTTTACTCGAAAACGTGACTCGGATAATGCAGCGCAACGCACAACGTGCTTGGTACGTCTTTAAAAGTCTCAATTCGCACTATATTTACTGGTAAACAAATCTGCCAGCCGATTGTCCCAATTACGCAATGAAGGGGGGGGGGGGGGTTAAAAGGAAAAAGTGCGTTTCGGGAAGGCGAAGGTGGCGAGGATGTGGGACGTCGCGATATGCTTCTAATGGATCAGGATATCCCCCCCCCCCCCACTCCGCGTAAAGGTAAGATTAGGAGGCCTTAGTGGGCGAACGGAAACGTATCGAGTTGCGGTTTTGTGCGTCGGCTTCCTAGATGGACTGCGATTGATAGGCGCCCAGTCGTACCCCCCCCCCCCCCCACTCCGTATAGGTAAAGGTGTGACGCCGTAGGGAGAGAACGGAGTAATGTATCGAGTTGCGGTTTTATGGGTTAGTTTCGTAGTACGATTGCGCTTCCGAGGTATTGGGTCGCGTGCCCCCCTCCTCTCAAATTGCTTATAGATGTCACTTATTTCACTTTTGGGCGTTTATTCAGAAACGCAAAGAAGTAGAGCCTATTTTTTACGTTAGATTCCTCTATCGTTCGGTCGCGTTCGGCGATTTGAGTAAAGGTAAGAGGCGAGACAGCGAAGTCGAAAGATGTCTCTTCTGTATGTTTTAATGTGCGAGGCGAAGCCGAGCAATGTCAACGGTTCTACACAAGTGTTGGACTAGATGGTATTTATAATTACGTTTTATGCCCACCACTATAGATGACACTTTTTTCATATTTTGGCGTTTATTCGGTAACGCCGGTCGCCGTTTTAGAATCGAATTGTCTATGCTGCGTGTGCGCAATTCGCTAGATGAAGAATGCCGCTCTCCCACCAAATTTTTCATCGCCGATCTGAAAATCGAAGAGAACCTGACTTCGTCTATGTTTTTTCTATATGGGTAGATATAGGAGATACCTCTCTCATGGTCAGTAGCGACGGTTTTTAGAACTGGCAACACTGCAATGTGGGACGAGAAGGCGCGAGTGTCGTTTTTGAGGCACTTTTTCGCGAAGTACTCGAAAACGTGAGCAGAGAATGTAATGATACTTTCCCAAAACTAACATTATCAAAATCCCCTTCCTTCATAATGTCGCGTAATTTTGACATATACTGTAGACATGCAGACATTAATTTTTTCTCCTCTATCAGAAATTTTGAAATTTGTTTTCTTTTATGTAATGTCATGGTTTAATTTAGTTACTTAATTACATTGTAATAGGTTTACTCTTATTTTATTTATCTTGCTTATTATTTTTTTGTCTATAGTGCCGCTTACGCAAATGTAACAAACTTCAATTTTGTTCTGTTATTGGATATTATTATCTCGAGTAGTCTTGAAGATATATCGATTGAAAGGCGGCGCCTCCCCCCCCCCCCCCTAGCGGTAAAGGTATGATTCCGTAGTGACAGAATGGGGTAACGTGTACAGTTGCGGTTTTGTGGGTTGGTTTTTGGTACGAGGTATCCCCCCCCCCCCCCCCCCCTCCCCCCCCAAAGTTGCTTATAGATCTCACATTTCATATTTGGGCGCAGAGAGCTAGAACCATGTGTTTTACGTTGGGTTCCTCTACTGTTCGATCGCGTTCGGCGATTTGAGTAAAGGTGAGAGGCGAGGCGGCGAAGTCGAAACATGTCTCCTCTGTATGTTTTAATGTGCGAGGCGAAGCCGAGCAATGTCAACGGTTCTGCACAAGTGTTAGACCGAATGGTTTTTACAATTACGTTTTATGCCCCCCACCCTTGTCTATAGATGACACTTTTTTCATGTTTTGGCGTTTATTCTTAAACGCCAGTCGCTGAGGGTCTCCTATATCAATCGGTCACGTTTTAGAATTGAATTGTCTATGCTGCGTATGCGTAATAGGCAACGTTCTTATTTATGGAGTAATTTGAACGGTAGGTCCCTCTAATGAAAGGAAATAAAATGCGTGTGCAAAAAATCGTACTGCGCATGCGCAAAACGCAACTTTCTTATTTATGTAAGTATCCAAAACCGAATAGGTATACATTACACGAAGAAATGAAGAAGAAACTATCGGAATATTGGTGCTTTTTGAGCCGAATAAAAATTTTTTTCCTTTTTTTCGTATTTTCTAAAATTCTAACGTTACCTAAAAACCACCCTAATTATATTCTAACAGGAATTCAAGAAAAATTCTGTCCGGTAAAACAATATAAAACGGCGTATGCTAACAAAACGGCGATGATAGGCCCATCTAGTCTAGTTACACACTGGAATAAGCAGATTTCAATTGTCCCTAGGTTTTAGGGTTAAGGATTTTGGAAAGGGTGCTGGGAGCAAGACCTCTAATGTGTTTTTTTTTTTGGTTTCTGTGTGACTTCCAGTACTGTTTCAAAGGTTTCCTACTCGGTTTCCTATCTTCCCTTTGCATTCTTTTGAAAGGGCCTTTAGGAGTCATAATGCATTTCTAGTGTTTCCTCCAGAACTCCTTCTTTGCTTTTCTTATGACTTTATTGTACCGTGTGGATGAAGGATCGGTGCCACATTGCAAATGGCTTGCCTAAAAAAATTAAGTCAAGACTACCCTTAATTAAAATTAGTGTAATTGTTATTTCTGTCTGCTTCTATCACATGGAGAAAGCGCGTGCGCACTCTCTTACATCGATGCGTGCATTACGAGCAGAAGTTATGCTGCGTTCTTCTCTTTCACACTGGACAGTACGGTTGTCGCAATCTTAAGCAGCGTGCGAGAGAGACATGTGTATTGACTAACATCTTCTGTGACGTTTTCTTAAAATCCGAGAGGTTCCATTCTATGCTGATACACAAATTATTGGGAGCTGGCAACCGCGCGACGAGGTTCCATTCTACGCTGATACACACATTTTTGAGAACTGGCAACCGCGCGACCTACAAGAAGAGGAAAGGATTTAACCTCAATGCAGAATCACATGTTTGATACTGTTAAATTTTATTGTTTGAAGTTGCTTTTAGTTCTGGGGTAAATGTCTGCTCAATTTATGTTTATGTTTTGATTACATGGTCTTGGCCCCCAGTTGATGTTATATATTTGGTCATGTGGAACTTATCGAATTGTTCGAAATATGATGTGTGTATCGACATGTTTGTAAACTAACACTTCGCCCTGAGGAGACACTCACTGGAGTGGTAAATAACTAACCAGTTACGACACCTAATGCTGGACCGTTCTGGAATCTTAACTTGTGCAGAAACAAATCGTTCTATTTAGTTGTAAAATTAAATGTGGTGTATTTTCCAGGAGGCACTTTACTTTCGGGTGTCCACAGGGTACTGAATCTTTTTTTTTTAGTCATAATAGTAATAATACAAGCGGAAAAAATTCACGTTACTCTACGCCACCTCTATACTCGCGTACGCCTAGCGGGAACAACTGGGAAACGACGCTCAGCTCTGTCAGCGAACAGAAGAGCGTGGCCCTGCATCAGTCTAGGTTAGGAGACGACGGACTAGTACCCTTACGATCTGATATGCAAGATAGGTTATGGCAAATAATAAAAAAGCAAAAGGTACTATACCACATCGGCATCTACTGTGAATTGACATTAATGTTTTATAGAGAAAGGAGGAGGCACTTCAGAGGGAGCTGCATACGTATCGGCAGGCGCTAATCAAACAGGTCTGTCACCAGTGCAACTACAATGACGGAGAGAGAATAGACGACACGGTTAGTATGTAATCGGCGCATTGTTACAGCAAAATCCGAAATGAAAAATACAAGTTAGTTGACCGAATGCCCGCCATTTTGTACTGTCAGTAGTTGAATTTCGTCCATATCTTCACGATTTTGTTTTTAAGCAGAATCTCTTACAGTTTCTCAGACTGTTTGGACTGAACCTCCTAAAATGTACGATACTTATAATTCATTCAGTTGTAATTGTACTTTACGACATAAAATATGTGACAGTTATACTTGATCGTCTCTGTTTGCAAGTCTCGATTCATTGATGGTGTTGGGAGAGTTTACCCAAGTTGAAGGTCGTACAGTTTTCCCCACTGAATATCGCTCGTGGTAACTACAACGTCTGAGTGCTTTTTGTGAATTCTTTGAATTTTGCCAAGACCTATTTACTGCAAGTGGTCGTGTAATTTTATTGAGTAGGAGTTAGATGACGCAAAGTCGCTTAGTTTTCAGTCTGAATTGGATCAGGATCGGATGATGATCCCATATAGGTAAGCAAAAACGTGCTTAATTTGCTCTTTTTGAGTATTACAATGTCCATTTGTACCAAATCAGACGAATTTATATCCAACATGTAATGTTTATTTTGAGGGTCCTTAGATACAAACACCCTGTATATTTTTGTAAATCGCCATGTGAACATGTTTTTATCCAATATGTAAAAGTTTATTTCGAGAGTTGTTAGTTACAACATTCCATACTCGTATAATCTCAGTTTTTTAATATGGAACACCCTATATATTTTTGTAAAACGCTAGATGAACATGTTTTCTATCCAATATGTAAAAGTTTACTTCAAGGGCCTTTGGCTACAAAATTTCATACTCTTACAATCTCAGTTTTTTTAATATGGAACACCCTATATGTTTTCTACCCAAAATGTCAAAGTTTATTTCGAGTGTCGTTAGTTACAAAATTTCATACTCTTATATCTCAGTTTTTAATATGGAACATCCTGTATATTTTGTAAAAATTCAGATGAGCATGTTTTCTATCCAATATGTCTAATGTTTATTTTGAGGGTACTTACTTACAAAATTTCATACTCGTATATCTCAGTTTTTTTTTATATGAACACCTTATATATTTTTGTAAAACGTTAGATGAACTTGTTTTCTGTCCCATACGTAAAAGTTTATTTTGAAGGTTCCTAGTTACAAAACTTCATACTTGTATATCTCAGTTTTTATATGGAACATCCTGTATATTTTTGTAAAACGTCTGATGAACATGTTTTCTATCCAATATGTAAAAGTTTATTTCGAGAGTCTTTAGTTACAAACTTTCATATTTGTATATCTCAGTTGTTTTTATATGGACACCTTGTATATTTTTGTCAGATGAACATGTTTTCTATTCAATATCTAAAAGTTTATTTCGGGGGTTCTTAGTTACAAAATTTCATAGTCTTATATCACAGTTTTATTAATATGGAACACCCTGTATATTTTTGTAAAACGCTAGAACTTCTATCCAATAGGTCAAATATTTATTTCAAGGGTACTTACTTACAAAATTTCATATTCGTATATCTCACTGTTTTTAATATGGTACACCCTGTATATTTTTGTAAAACTTTAGATGAACATGTTTTCTATTCAATATATAAAAGTTTACTTCAAGGGCCCTTGGCTACAAAATTTCAGACTTGTATATTTCAGTTTTTTACATGGAACACCCCGTATATTTGTTTAAAAAGTCACATGCACATGATTTTTATCCCATATGTAAAAGTTTATTTCGAGGGTCCTTAGTTACAAACTTTCATACTTGTATATCCAGTTTTTTTTATGTGGAACACCCCATATATTTTTCTAAACCTTTGGATGAATATGTTTTCTGTCCAATATGTAAAGGGTTTATTTCGAGGCTCCTTAGTTACAATATTTCATAATCGTCTATCTCAGTTTTTTATATGGAACACCCTATGTATTTTTCTTTTCTGAATCCTCAGATGAACATGTTTTCTATCCAATATGTAAAAGTTTACTTCAAGGGCCCTTGGCTACAAAATTGCATACTTGTATATCTCAGTTTTTATATGGAACACCCTGTATATTTTTATAATATCTTAACTTGTTCAATAATCTATTATGGGGTGCTTTCATTAAAAAACTGAGATTAACAAGTATACTATATATACAAAAGCACAATGTACAAATTTCTCCTACCCACAGTCGTTGACTCGCTTTGCACAGGGCGTCCCATTTTCGACAATTATACAGGGCATCTCCTTAAATGTTAGTGCTATGAAATGTTTATCTCAGTTTTTTATATGGAACACCTTGTATATTTTGTAAAAGTCGGATAAACATGTTTTCTATCCAATATGTAAAAGTTTACTTCAAGGACCCTTGGCTACAAAATTTCATACTTGTATATTCAGTGTTTTATATGGAACACCCTGTATATTTTTGTAAAAAGTCAGATGAACATGTTTTCTGTCCAATATGTCAAAGTTTACTTCAAAGGCCCTTGGCTGCAAAATTGCATACTTCTATATCTCAGTGTTTATATGGAACACCCTGTATATTTTTGTAAAACGTCAGAAGAACATGTTTTCTATCCAATATGTAAAAATAATAGATTTTTTAGATACTATCTGGTTACTTTTTAAAGAGGGGGTCCTTAGTTTCAAACTTTCATGCTTGTATATCAGTTTTTTTATATGGAACACCCTGTATATTTTGATCAAAGTCAGATGGATATTTATTCTATCCAATATCTCAAATGTTTATTTCGAGAGTTCCTATTTACAAAATTTATACTTGTATATCTCAGTTTTTTAATATGAAACACCCTATATATTTTTGTAAAAAAACGAACATGTTTTCTATCCAAAATGTAAAAGTTTATTTTGAAGGTCGTTACAAAATTCCATACTCGTATATGTTTTTTTTTAATAAGGAACACCCTGTATATTTTTGTAAACAGTCAAATGAACATGTTTTCTGTCCAATATGTAAAAGTTTATTTCGAGAGTGTTTAGTTACAAAATTTCATGCTCTTATAATCTCAGTTTTTTTAAATATGGAACACCCTATATATTTTTGTAAAAAGTCAGATGAACATATTTTCTCTCCAATATGTCAAATGTTTATTTCGAGGGTACTTACTTACAAAATTTCATACTTGTATATCTCAATTTTTATATGGAACACCCTGTATATTTTTGTAAAATGTCAACATGTTTTCTATCCCATATATAATAATAATAGATTATTTAGATGCTATCTGTGTTACTTTTTAAAGAGGGTCCTTAGTTTCAAAATTTCATACTTGTGTATCTCAGTTTTTTATATGGAACACCCCGTATATTTTTGTAAAAAATCAGATAAACATGTTTTCTGTCCAATATGTCAAATGTTTATTTCGAGGGTATTTACTTACAAAATTTCATGTTTGTATCTATATCTGTTTTTTTATGTGGACACCTTGTATATTGTTGTAAAACGTCAGATGTTCTATTCAATATCTAAAAGTTTATTTCGGGGGTTCTTAGTTACAAAATTTCATACTCGTATATCTCACTTTTTTTTTATATGGAACACCCTGTATATTTTTTGTGAAAGTCAGATAAACATGTTTTCTATCCAATATGTAAAAGTTTATTTCTGGGGTCCTTAGTTACAAAATTTCATACTTATCTGTTTTTTTATATGGAACACCCTATATATTTTTGTAAAACGTCTGATGAACATCCTGAGTTACAAACTTTCGTACTTGTATATCTCAGTTTTTTTACATGGACCACCCTGTATATTTTTATAAAATGTCAGATGAATATGTTTTCTGTCCAATATGTAAAAGTTTATTTCGAGGGTCGTTAGTTACAAAATTTCATACTTGTATATCTGTTTTTTTTAATATGGAACACCCTGTATATTTTTTTAAAACGCTAGATGAACATGTTTTCTATCCAATATGTAAAAGTTTACTTCAAGGGCCCTTGGCTTCAAAATTTCATACTTGTAAATCTCACTTTTTTAATATGGAACGCCCTATATATTTTTGTAAAAGTCATATTGAACATGTTTTCTATTAAATATGTAAAAGTTTATTTCGAAGGCCCTTGGTTATAAACATTTGATACTTGTATATCTGTTTTTTTTTAATATGGACCACCCCATATATTTTTGTAAAATCAGATGAACATGTTTCCTATTCTATACTATAAAAAGTAATATAGGCGTCATCTGTTCTTTTTGTTTTCAAAATGAATAGTATACTGGATTAGGTGAAAAAGTTGTCAGACCCAATCTCATTTTTAAAGGGAACACCCTGTATATTTTAATCTAAAAAGATAGCATATTCATTTCTCTTTTCATAAATATAAGATTAAAAAAGTTCAAAATTCTTTCTGAATCTTTTTGATTTTTTTAACATTTTTTATATCATTTTTTTTTAATCACTGAAATCTTTTTTTACTGTCATCCCTGGCCAGCTATATTTTTGAAAAGAGAATGTAATAATGCTACTTTTTTAGATTACAAAATACAGGGTGTTTCATTAAAAAAAAGATTAGATCTGACATTGTTTTACTTGAATCTGCATACTTATTTAGAAAACAGCAGATTATTCAATAAATATATTTTTTAATCTATAAAGATAGCATATTAAACTTTTTTTTTAAATATGACATTAAAAAATTCAAGAAATGTTTATTTTGATTCAAAAAAGATTTTTAAAAAATCCTGGATAACGAGCTGCATTAAAGTAAACTTATCTTGTCTAGAGTGACAAAGAAGATGGCGATAGTTCGTTTTTGAGGGTCGCAAGCGAGTGCGTTGATTCGCCGATGGCAGCAATGGTCAGTCTCGTTTGTACGAACTTGTGGCTTTTGCGTGTATTTGCTCGTTCCTTAACTCCCCCGATATCCACCTTCTGCACGTCTAAACTGACATTAGGGTTCGTTTTTAGAATTCCGTGGTGGATTCTAATTGCAGCGCGGGCGAGGGCCAAGCGTCGGCGGTCGAATCGCTGCGTTCGGACATATCATGGGAGGCGGTGGAGGAGGGGCCGGCGTTTCCCGAGGGCATCTCGACGCTCTGGGTGCCCGACCATGCGGTCTCGAGGTGTACGGGTTGCCAAACGCAGTTCTGGCTCGGAAGGAGGAAGCACCACTGCAGGTATTATTACGCTTTGTTTATAGACTGAGAGGAGTAAATTGCAAAGCCTGAATTACACCACTAAATTTACTAACTTTAGTATAATTGCTCCTTTCGCCTACAATTCTTTTTTTTTTATCATGGTAGAGGCACTTAGGGACTATGAGTTACTGATAACTTACTTTTAATTTTTACTAAATTGCTACCTACTGAGCAGGGGGAATGATTCTCATTCACATGCCCTGTCACTTTTGAAATCACTAGAGCAGCAATCATTACAAGGAGATCTGAGGGTTTGCCCCTTTTGTTTTGATCATGATTATAAAGGCACTTAGTGGCTATGAGTTACAGATAACTTAGTTATAATAAAATTATTACCGATACCCATTACGAACTCGGACGTTAACTTTTCTTAAGGAGAAACGTGCACTTACAAGTAACACAGATACACAAAAACAACAGATTGCTGTATGCATTTAATAGGTAACAGGTTTAGGTATACTTAAAAGCGCCCTCTATTGAGTAGCAGTATAAACATGTACCTTCCAAAACTGTAAAATTACACTTACGGATTTATGCATTAGATGTCTCTGCAAAAATTTAAAGCCGATGAATACCTCCACTTCACTTAAACAATGGTGGCCCAGCTTACCTCCATATCACTCACTGTAATAATACCAATAATAAGGAATTCGAATTGTCCAACTTTTAACGCTAAATTTTTTGCAGCGACATCTAATGCATAAATGCATAAGCGTCATTTTAGAGTTTTAAACTGTGACATGTTTGTACCGCTGCTCAATAGAGGGCGCTGTTAAGTAAAGTCACTAGATATAGAAAGTACCGCAATCATCCGCCATTTTTGGGCAAATTTGCTGCCAACTTAAAAAAATTGACAAATAAAATCTGAATAGCTGTCATTTTTTATAACCTAACTTCATAGTACTGTCATGTTTTATAAAAATATATACAGATATCTCCAAACAGGTGGAACAATCCCTAACATAAAAGTTACTAGAATCTGGTAACTTTCGCCATTTTTGGGCAAAAATCATGCGTTCTCTCTCTAACACACGAGCCCAATGGATTGCGGTACTTTCTATATTTAGTGACTTTATACTTCAATCTGTTACCGATTAAATGAATAAGGTTAGCTTATTTACAATAAGAACCTTAGCTGAAAAATTAAATCACAAAAACGCCAAGCTAATTTGAAAAACATCAGAGTTGCCATTGGTCACTGTGTAAAATCGGCGCCCTCTCGGCCAAATTGCAAGTGAAAACTGTTAGCGCGAGTTCCTTAAAACGCTCCTCTTAGTTTAGAAACGGAGAATAGTGAGCAATGGACATTTTGCAGAAATTGCGGCCGAATCTTTTGCGCCGACTGTTCGGAGAACAGCACGCCGCTGCCGTCCGAGCAGCTGTTCAGTCCGGTGCGCGTATGCACGACGTGCTTCGCGAAGTTGCGCCGCGACTGCGCCGAGATACCCGACCACTGTAAGCACGTGGGCCCGCAAACGACGACCGCGAATCCGCAAATAACAGCATCCAGTAATTAAGTTTGATTGTATTATTTTTATTGTAAAGTTTTTTGTATTATATCAATGTTTTTAGGTTTACATCTGTCTGGGTTTTGTAAATATTTTCTAGTGCACTGTTTTTGGTCACGTTTTTAGTCGAAATGTTATTTTAACCTACATTTTATGTCGAATCTTGTGATGTGTTTGGAGTTGGCTACGAAACTGAAAAATTTTCCGATGTAGCTTCCACGGTGTATAATCATAACCACGCTTTCTGATCAATGTTCAATTTTCCTGTCCAACTCTTAAACCGTTTTTATAGCTTTATTTTTAAAGTGATGCACATTTTTTAGTTTTAGTAATCCTGTTAACGTCCATTAAATAAAGGTTACTGTGATTTTAAAAGGAAATGTTCTTGAGAAATGCTGTGATGGAATATTTTTAATGCTTTTCATCACTTTAATTTAGACGGTAAACATCAATTGTGACAATATATGTATACACTATTGGGACTCAAAGGTTTTGAAGTGACCTCTGTCTCGAGCAAATGTTAACGAAGAAAAAACACTTCAAAACTTTCGCAGACGATTAAAAAAAAAGACGTTCCGATGGCCGACGGGCGGGCGTGTACTAATTGTAATATATTATTTTCTAATAGGGAAGTAATTGCAAAAGTCAGTTCCGATTTTTAACATCTTAATCCCTTTCGTTTAGAAGCAATAAAAATGGGCATTATAACGATATAATTTTTAGCGGGATTCCCACATTTTCTAAAAGGATTTAATTTTTCAATTTGATAGATTTTGCATTTACTTAAATAGACAAAAGAAGATAGTTGTACTAGAATAATATACATGCATTATAATGTATAGTAGATGAGACAAAATATACACTATTTAACTAAAACCGCATTCAATAATCACTCATATCCTTCTTCAATAGTGTGACTAGAAGGTAGGTAACTTTGCTGCTACCATAACACTTGAAGTGTTACAGGGTGATTCACGTAAGTTTTAAAACTTGCAGTTGAAATAGGAAAGTTGGTTCATAATAATTTTAAGATGGCGCCGCTTTCGTATACACGGTGTCCATTTTTCGAGTGCCTCTATGGGGATCTCGCTACCTGAAGAGATAGCGAGTTGGTTAAATGGGGGCAAAGTTGCGAATTTTCGTGCTGAAAAATAATCTGAAAAGAAATTAAAAATATCTTTAGTAGTTTTGAAAATATCGCAAAAAAACATTCAGACACTTTAATTTTTCGGGAAGAGTGCTTTGGAAAAACAAAACGTTCTTTTATCGTGAACAAAAGTATAACAGTTTGATCCATCTGTCTAGTTAGAGCGTTGGCAGAGAACTAGTTGAGTTTAGATTTTCATCTGAATATAATTGAACCTTCGTTTTGCAAGAAAATTATAATTCAAATTAGAACAAAATACTTAAGAACAAATAATATTTTCGCAATAAATCTAGCACAAACGTAAAAACGTTTTGTTTTTCCAAAGCATACTCTTCGCAGAAAATTAAAATTGTAATTTTAGGAAAAATGAGTTACTGAACCACCATGTGTGATTGTTGTAAAGAGAAAAAAAGACGTAATCTCAAAATGTCAAAATCCAAAACGGCGCCCATAAAAAAAATTAAAGTTGCCACCTGTTTCTCCGTCATCTTAAAAGTTATTGAAAACGGGATGCCATATTCGAAATCTCCATTAAAAAGTGTCTGAATTTAGAAATGTCTAGAACGATTAGTTTACTATGAAATAATTAAAAACGAAAATCAGAAATTTTCTTTTTTTTGCGATATTTTCAAAACTATTGAAGATATTTTAAATTTCTTTTCAGATTATTATTCAACACGAAAATTCGCAACTTTGCCCTCATTTAACCTAATGTCTATCTCTTAAGATAAGCGAGATCCCCATAGTGGCACTCGAAAAATGGGCACCGTGTATACCGGATGTTGGCGCCATCTTGTTTTTTTTTTAAATAGAAACCATTTTCTATTTTTGTTCTAAATGCGCCATTTTATTCTGAATTCAACGGTTCTAAGATTTGCGTAGGCCGTAGGCCAATCTGTCATAGTTTTTGAGAAATGAGAGATGCAAAGGTCTATTCAAAAATTATTTTCTTAAACCATTCAGGATAAGTGAATGCTTAAAATCTAAGGAATTTTTGAGTGTGGCCAACATTTTCGTATACAGAGGTCAGAACAGAGGTTCTACCCTGTATATACAACTTACGACGATACATCATTTTTGAGAGTTGGCAACCGTGCAATTTCTAGGTGGGAAAAAGCCGCCTGCGCCTTCTAAAAAGCAGGAACAAGGGGTTACGGTTACGTTGATCATCTTGTCTTGAAAGCGATCGTGAACGCATCGCTCCATAAATGTTTGTTGTTATTTTGTGTTATTTAATGCAGGTATAATAATTTTTGCATTTTTTTATATCGTATTTGTGTTTTGTATGCCGCATTTTATGTTTTTGTGTTTCAATCTTTGATTTTGAAATTTACTTGATTTAACCGCAATGCAGAATGAGATGTTAAATACCGTTATGCTATTGTTTGTAATTGTTTACGTTTTTGGTGTAATGCTTGCTTAATTTATGTTTATTGATGTTGATTACTTGGTCTTGTCCCTGAAGTTACACTCATAAGTTTTGATCATTTTATTTTAATATGTGGTTATTACCGATTCGTTTGATGTATGTAGGGTCAATTTTATGGTTTCGTTTTTTTAAAAATAATTTATTCGAGTGTTACATGATAAAGGCTACTTCGCAACGTGCAGGGACTTTTCAACACATCCATGTAAGGTACCATTTCGATCCATTTGGATTTGTTGAACTTGTTCTACTTCTGTTGTTGGTCTGGACAAAATGGAATTCTGGGTGACGTCATTCGCGTATTTTAATACTCAACGTTTATTGGCTGAAAGATACGAGACAACAACCTTGATTTTTTCCAATATTGTTTGCCATTTCATTATGCACAGCGTATTACGAAAATGGGGACGACAATTGCGACATCTAGCGGAGAAATTTTACACATACTACCGAATGCTTCACAAATAAAATGTTGCCGTTACCACTTTTATAGTTTCCTACACTATCAGACAGTACTCCATTGTGGGTAGGATATCCATTACAAAAACGACTTCTATTGACCAATTCCTAAAAAAATGTTGTCGATGTCGCGATCTTATACTAACAAGGTGGACACAATTATTTGGCCGTAAAGGAAAAATTAAAAAAATTTTTAATTGTTCTTTAGAAGTCGAGAAGCGACTGCAATTTAGACTTTTCCCATATTCACGAACAAAGACACAGTTACTTTCATGTCGAAACGACGGACGTTTCTCGGAACTTCAGTCGGATGTTAAATATGGTCGTTCTATGTATATAGAAATGAGAAAGGAAATTGAATAGAAACTAATTTTGTGTTTAAGAAAAGACGAAAAAAAACAAACCCACACAACCTATGCGATGCCAGGGAAACCTTAGGGACAAAAACCCTGGGTATAGCTGACAGATCTACACGATCATTTGTTTCTCAAGCGAAAATTAAAGATGCTCCAGTAATAAAACCATTCATGTTTCCGGTGTGTAAAACCGCATATCTTAAATAGTTATAAGATTGTTTTGTTCTCATATATACCAGTATGTTACCTGCGTCCTTCGGGTTTAATTTTTCTTACACTTCTTGCGCTGTTGACTTACATATTGTTCCGTTTTCAAATATCCACGTTTCATCCAAAAAAACACATTGGGGGTTGAGTTTCAGAGTGTATATCTTTTACATAAGCATCTAAAAAATGGATTCTTGGGTATCTCAATCAAACCTTTTCTTTGATTATCAATATTTGCAACAACTTTTCTTAACGAACTTTGAGACCCATTAAATATTTCTTTTACCACCCCCGTGACTGCTTCATTCACGGAGAAAGTGTTAGTTACAAGTACACACACAAACAGCTCAGTAATTTGCACATATTAAAATAAAATGATCAAAACTTATATGAATATTACTTCAGGGACAAGACCAGGTAATCAACATGAATAAACATAAATTAAGCAAGCATTACATCAAAAACGTAAACAATTACAAACAAAAGCATAACTGTATCAAATATGTGATTTTGCATTACGGTTAAATCAAGTCAAAAACAAAGATAGAAACAAAAATATAAAATGCTGCATACAAAACTCAAATACGATGTAAATAAATGCAAAGATTACTACCTGCATTAAATAACACAAAAATAACAACAAATTATCACGATCGATGCTCTCATGGTCGCAAATAAAAACAAAATGCCAAACGTAACGAACGTTCAGCCAGCTTTTTCCCACCTAGAAATTGCATGGTTGCCAACTCTCAAAAAAGTGTGCATCTCCGTAAGTTGTATATACAGGGTGAAACCTCTCACACTAAAGGTTTTTGGTTTAATTTTTTGCATCTCACAATTCTGACCCAAGAGCAACAGCTGTACGTCTAGGTCAACGTGTTGAACGCCTAGATTAGTTTCTTCTTTAATTTTTTTTACTTCCAAATAATTTGCGTAATAAAGACATTATTAACCTATATTTTCTGAATTACAACGATCTGTCTAACATAAACACGTAATTCCAACGTTTAATGTGGTTTAAAATGATTTTTTTTTAATACGTCGAGATGTACGATTGCAAATTCCAAACAAGGAGTACCGTTGGCGTATATAGAGACACCGTTGAAACGACAAGTACCATTGGCGTATATCGAGACACCGCTGTAAATCATTTTTACACTGGGAAACAAAGGTTATTCCTATTTTGATTTGTTTGAGATTGGCCAGTTATTAATTTTCATTTGTTTATTTTATAGCAAATGTTAAATTAACATTTTAATAAGTTTGAATGAGTAGGCTTAGCCGTTCTTTAACCGTAAGGATAGATAAAGTGATCACTTTAACCGTAAGGGACTAAGGGTAGATAAAGTGAAACAGATGACTGTGCATTCTAATGACATCTGTCATTCTTATTTCAAATGCACCATATGAAATGACATTCAGAACATATGACAATGATGTTTGTATGGAAACGATCACGACGACAGAACCTAAGCTTGCTATTTTATCTATCTCTAAATTAAATTCAGAATTTTCAGAAGCTTTACAATCATTTATATGGTTTCTCATCTCGTGAAAGTTAATTCACCCAATGGTTAAAATAACCCTTCATCGTATATTGTAGATTGTTGAAAAGGAAACCCATTGTTTTCCAGTGTAAAAACAATTTCCAGCGGTGTCTCGATATACGCCAATGATACTTTGTGGTTTGAACGGTGTCTCTATATCCGCCAACGGTACTTCTTGTTTGGAATTTGAAATCATCTCAACCCTGTACCCATCGCATCAACTTCTCAAAACTAATGCCCGCATACCTATAAGATGCAAAAAGCGGAGGGATGCCTTTGTTTAGCGGACTTCTGCAGAAAGACGATCGCGAGTAAAACAAAAAGTAGTAAAAATGGAAATAAAAGAAAAATATACCATAGGTATTATTATTTACAGTGTAGTGTAGACAATACGAGAGTCGACAATTATTTTTTACCAATAGGGCAATACATGGCCCTAAGTTTGCCGACATCGATCGGACTCAAATCTTCGACCCATCCCATGTTGCAGTTTGGCGTCTGAAAAGTCAGTCTTTCACTGTGTGCCGTTTCGATATTTTCGCTTACCGTATGCGGTTGTATTGTCATCAAGCCATTCGCCGAGAACGCGTACGGATCGTAGTGCATGATGCTACAGAGGTCGTATGGGTATCCGAAGCTTGTTTCGCTATTCGCTGGTATTATGTCAAAATTGAAAAGCTCACCTGGGGAAAGTTAATGGTTGAATTGAACTAGGTCAGGTGGACTTACTTGGTATAATATTTTGGGGGTAAATTGTAATGTAGTTGTCCCTGTCTGGAACACTGTGCATGTGGTAAAATCCGACGGCGTGCATGAATTCGTGGATAATTTGGTGACGGTGTACGCAGGTGGTTCCCAAATTCATAGTTTGAGGTCGCCCCTGTCTACCAAGCTCGGCGTAACACCCGCTCGGATCGGCATTCTGCGGAAGTAGAATTGCTCGGGCAAAAAATCGAGAAAGCGCCACCTACCGTGATCTGAACCACGCTTCCTCCACAGTATGTTGTCGACTGGTACGGATAAACGCACGTATTCGGAAACCCAGTACTCAGCGTGGTGATTATCAGATTACGGTCCGATGCACCTAAAACAGGTCATCCTAGCCTGGCTGGAACTTGGGTAGTTGTACTTACTGAAACTGCCAGTAATGGTGTAACACACAACGCCTCCCGGCCATCAAAGATTCACATTAGTCGCCGCGTTCCGTTTGCTTGGCAAAAGGATGTCGCCCTCGAATTTGCCACTGTACTGCCATAGATTCCTCTCTCTACCTACAAATCGACGAGTTTAGTCCATTGGCAAACTCAACTTCAGTCGCGTACTCTTCTTTATGTTGTTTCGTAGTGACGAACAGTCTGAAGGAGTTGAGAGGATGACCAGTAGAAGAACGGCGGTTATTGGATCCATTTCTCAGCACTAAAATCTTTGTCAATTTCGTCTAGCGCTTATATAAGAGTTTGTGGCGCGGGCAAATATTATGCACTCGATCTTAAAAAATAAGTGTAACTATTTGCTTTGTAAAATTTATGGTGATAAATTGCGTGTACCTTGGCGTCTTGGTACACAGGAAGAAGACACATATTCTTGAGAGTGTTTGTAAAAACAACGGAAAGTCGCTTGAAAATGAGGTGGCGTATTGTTGACTTTCCAATTTTATTTATTTTCTTGTTCAAATTATTTAATTAGACTACGTTCTTAGGGCAGTTGACGCACATAGTGGTCATAAAGATGGTGGCGAAAAAGACAATCACTAGCTAGACGGAATTGGCACATACGAAAATTAAGGGTACCACGGCATGGTTGTACAACGCACTGGAATATCTCCGCTGTAGAGGTGTATTACATGGGGTAGAAGTCTGCTAATCAAATGCAACCTGCCGAAAATATCAGATTTGACTTTACCGATAATGGCCCTTTTTCTTTTTGTTCTTGGATTTTTTGAGTTATTAGATGCTATCTCAGTCGGCCCTAGACATACCTACCAGGGGGAAGAAATATTCCTAAAACCTGCTCGACATCTTCTTGAAGTCTTTTTGAAACCATCGTGAAATCCTCTTGAAATGTTTTTGAAATCTTTAATTTTTCTTGAAACCTTCCTGAAATCTTCTTGTAATCTTCAACTATTCTAGAAATATTCTTGAAATCTTCTTGAAATTTTCTTCGTATCTTTTTCATATCCTGTTGAAATCTTCTTGAACTTAAAATTTTTCTGAAATATTGAAATATTTTTGAAATCTTGAAGTATTCGTAAAATCTTATTGAAATTTTGTCCAAGACTTTTTGAAATATTCTTGAAGAATTCTTGATATATTCTAAAAATATTCTTGAAATATTCTGGAAATAATCTTGAAGTATTTTTGAAATCTTCTTGAAATCTTGTTCAAACCTTGAAATATTCGTGAAATCTGTTTGAAATATTGAGAGCTTTTGGAAATCTTTTTAAAATCGCCTAAAAATCTCAAAATATTTAAATTTTTCTTAAATTTTCTTACTTTCTTATCGAAATTGTCTCTAAAACTTCTTGAAAACCTACTTGAAATCCTGTTAAAATATTCTTAAAATCCTTTTGAAATCTTCTTTAATTTTTCTTGAAATCTTCTTGATACCTTCCTGAAATCTTCTTCTAATTTTGATATTTTTTCGAAATCGACTTTGTTATATCTTCTTGAAATCTTGAAATCTTTCAGAAATCTTCTTAAAATCATTTTCAAACCTTGTAATCCTCTTGAAAGTATCTTTTTCATATCCTGTTGAAATCTTCTTGAACTTAAAATTTTTCTGAAATATTGAAATATTTTTGAAATCTTGAAGTATTCGTAAAATCTTATTGAAATTTTGTCCAAGACTTTTTGAAATATTCTTGAAGAATTCTTGATATATTCTAAAAATATTCTTGAAATATTCTGGAAATAATCTTGAAGTATTTTTGAAATCTTCTTGAAATCTTGTTCAAACCTTGAAATATTCGTGAAATCTGTTTGAAATATTGAGAGCTTTTGGAAATCTTTTTAAAATCGCCTAAAAATCTCAAAATATTTAAATTTTTCTTAAATTTTCTTACTTTCTTATCGAAATTGTCTCTAAAACTTCTTGAAAACCTACTTGAAATCCTGTTAAAATATTCTTAAAATCCTTTTGAAATCTTCTTTAATTTTTCTTGAAATCTTCTTGATACCTTCCTGAAATCTTCTTCTAATTTTGATATTTTTTCGAAATCGACTTTGTTATATCTTCTTGAAATCTTGAAATCTTTCAGAAATCTTCTTAAAATCATTTTCAAACCTTGTAATCCTCTTGAAAGTTTTTTAAATCTTCGTAAGATCTTCTTGAAATCTACTTGAATTTTCTTGAAATCTTCTTGAAATCTCTTGAAGTCTTCTTGAACTCGCCTTGAAACATTTCTAAAATCTTCTTGAACTTCCCTTGAAATTTTCTTAAATTTTTTTTGAAATTTTGAAATGTTCTTTAAATCTTGAAATATCCTTAAAATATTCTTGAAATTTTTTTGAAATCTCATGAAGTTTTCTTGAAGTCATCTTGAAATCTTCTTGAAATCTTTCTGAAATCTTCTTGAAATCCTGTTGAAATCTTCTTGAAATCTTCTTTAAATCTTGAAATCTTCTTAAAACCTGCTTGAAATCTCTTGAAGTCTTCTTGAAATCTTTTTGAAATCGTCATAAAATATTCTTGAAATTTTCTTGAAATACTCTTGAAATCTCTTGAAGTCTTCTTGAAGTCGTCTAATCTTGCTGAAATGTTCTTAAAATCTTTTTCAAATCTTGTAATCCTCTTGAAACTTCTTGAAATCTTCGTAAGGTCTTCTTGAAACATTCTTGTGATCTTCTTCAAATCTACTTGAATTTTTCTTGAAATCTTCTTGAAATCTCCTTGAAATGTTCTTGAAATGTTCTTGAAATCTTTTTGAAATCTTCTTTAAACCTGCTTGAAATCTCTTAAAGTCTTTTTGAAATCGTCTTAAAATATTCTTGAAATCTTGAAACCTCTTGAAATCTTCTTGAAATCTTTTCAAATCTTGTTGTAATCCTCTTGAAACTTTTTGAAATCTTCATAAGATCTTCTTGAAACCTTCTTGTAATTTTCTTGATATCTACTGAAATCTACTTGTTCTTGAAATCTCCCTGAAATGCACTAGAAATCTTTTTGAAATCTTTTTCAAATCTTGAAATCTTCTTAAAATCTGCTTGAAATTTTTTGAAGTCTTCTCGAAATCTTCTTGAAATCGTCTTAAAATATTCTTGAAATTTTTTTGAAATCATGAAATCTTTTTCAAATTTTGTTGTAATCCTCTTGAAACTTCTTGAAATCTTCATAAGATCTTTTTGAAATCTACTAGAATTTTTCTTAAAATCCTTTTGAAATGTTCTTGAAATCTTGAAACCTTTTTGAAATCTTCTTGAAATCTTTTTCAAATCTTCTTGAAACCTTCTTCAAATCTACTTAAAATTTTCTTGAACACTTGTTGCAATTTCTTCAAATCTTCTTGAAATATTCTTGAAATCTCCTTAAAATGTTCTTGAAACCTCTTGAAGTCTTCTTGAAAACTTCCAAAAATCTTCTTGAAATCTCCTTCAAATCTTGTAATGCTCTTCATATCTTCATGAGATCTTCTTGAAACCTTCTTGTAATCTTCTTGAAATCTACTTGAATTTTTCTTGAAATCTTTGAAATGTGCTTAAAATGTTTTTGAAAGCTTTTTTATCTTCTTAAAATCTGCTTGAAATCTCTTGAAGTTTTCTGGAAATCTTCTTGAAATCGTCTTAAAATATTCTTAAAATTTTCCTGAAATCTTGAAATCCCTTGAAGTCTTCTTGAAGTCGTCTTGAAATCTTCTTGAAATCTTTTTGAAATTTTCTTGAAACCTTCTTCAAATCTACTTAAAATTTTCTTGAAAACCTGTTGCAATTTCTTGAAAGCTTCTTGAAATCTTCTTAAAATGTTCTTGAAACCTCTTGAAGTCTTCTTGAAATCTTCTAAAAATCTTCTTGAAATCTTTCTGAAATCTTCTTCAAATTTTGTAATCCTCTTAAACTCCTTCATATCTTCATGAGATCTTCTTGAAGTCTTCTTGAAATCTCGTAAAATCTGTAAGACAGTAAGCAATAGTCGAAACTACTCCTCAAGGACGTTAAAAATACTGCTGAACAAAAGGACAGTGAAACGAACGCGTAAGCTAAAAATAAGTTTCGATTAAACCTAAAAAATATGTTTATGTAAAAGAATAATAATAATGGGAACACTTAAAAATAATTCTATCTAAATAGTGCGGAACCGGAACCTATACTTCATATGGGTTTCAACCTCTGATACTAACCACCAATCTTTAAATTTCGTCACTTATTATAAATATGTGTTGGCGTGCTCCAAGCTTTTGCTTTAAGTACCGTTACTGAGTCATGTTTGTTTGCTATACTGTACATGCGGTTATTGTAATATTTTATTAAGTACTTATTCATGTATTCACGTACGTGGGAGTATATTATCAGTGCGAGGTTGCCATGTACGATTCGAGTAACCATTTATTCCTTGGAGGAAGTACTTCATACAGTTCCGATTCTTCGCTGTATCATGCTAGGCTTCCTCATCTCGTGCGGACTACAGCTCTTGTGTCTTAGCATTACGAAACTATGGGGGTCTTCCAATTAACTTTTCTTCGGTATAGTATGGGGGGGGGGGGCTGTTCACATGTACCGGGTGACGCAATAAGATTGTTCCTCGGCCATATCTCGAGAACCGTTCGTCATATGACTTAGGGGTAAAAAAATGATTGGGTAAATCGGTTATGAAGAATCGCTGGAAAATATTTTCAAGTTCTAAAAATAACCGCCAGAGGGCGTAACTACCATCTTAAATTATATTCGGAATCGGAGTGCTCGAAACAAGGAGCGAGCGGGGTCTGATAGTCTTCCCGAAGGGGTAGCTCGGTTACCATTGTACGGATACGGATTTATACAAAAGAGATCCGAAATAAATTTTGTGCACGATATCATTTTCCTTCCTGATCGTGTCTCACGTCCCAACACATAGAAAGGCCGTCATATTAAAATGCAACGTGAATCCTTCTGTAAGGTAGGATCACTATTCGTACCCAGCCCGAGGTCGCTACAGAGCAAGATAAGTTTACTCGTAGCGTAGCGTGCAGAGATATAGACGGGGGCTATATCTCAGGGTAGCGTGCTATACCTTCTCGAAAGTGGCGCAAAGCGTCCGATATTTTTACATGACAGTTAGATGGCTCTGCTTGCAATTTTTTTCCAGGGTGGCCAACTGTAGGTACAGGGTAAGTCAAATTTGCAGTACCGACCGTGGACTCCTAAGATCGTTACAGTGTTTCTTACTACTTTATTTACTTAATTACCTAACTACATTATTTACAGTTGAACGTTTAGTTATACGTATGATTGCTTTATGTTCCACTCATATAAACGATTTATTTGACATTTACTCCATATATGTGTATATAAGTACGAGTATTACAATACTATCAAATCAGTTCAGTTCTTCCAAGTAGGTAAGCAAAAAATTGTCCATCATCGATGTGTGTGTGTGTAACAAAAAATAGAATTATTGAGCAGTTTCTTAATCGCTATCATCCGAAAATGAAAATACAATAAGCTCTTTTTATTCGTTAGTCTATGTAGAAGTGGTTATAGTCAATCACAGATGAAAAGAAAAATTAGCTGCTTCTGTTTGGAAGCTGGTAGCCCCATTGCGATGCAACTCTGCTAATTCCATTCGTAATGTCTGCAAGGGGAATTGTGATTGTTGGCGACAAAACTCTTAAAAAATAGCATTATCTTCTCGCAGGGGATGCTATATTATATATGGCCTCGTAAACCTTCTTCTGCTCCATTTGTAACAATTTCTTCATTTTACGCGTATACGGATCAAAGTTCATGTATCGCCGCTTGCGCCTGTAAATGCCCTCTTGTCTTTCAAGCGCGCAAGCTAAAAGTTGGTCAGAAATGGGGACTTCCAGAAAATTTAGCAAAACCGTTAGCGTATGCTGAACGTTGTCGACGAGTTGCTCGTAAAATATAATGTGAGTGGGACCTGTGAAATTGTAGAGCCAGTCGAGGTTCATTTCCTTCCACATTTTCAGCTTGTCGGTCACGAACTGTTGCCAATCTGGAAATCAAAGGATCACAAGTGTTTTTGTCTGGTGGCTCACACCCACATTTGCCTCGAGTCTTCTTGTAGCGATCGGGGGACGCGAAGCCGATGTGGCCACCGCTCTGCCGATTGAATTCGGCTTGAATCGCGTTCGCGGGCGCTCGTACCAGCAGTACGGCCTTGGAGAACTGCTTACGGGCGTTTGCGCCCCATTCGTGCGTTTTCACCACCAAAACCGAACCGTTCGAGATGCTTTCGGCCGGGAAACCACTTTTTAGTAGGCCATAGTCCTTATAGACGGAGCCAGTGTAGACACCTGCAAAGAAAATAAATTAAAACCTCTAATCATTTACAAGGTCATTAATGATTTTCAAAGAATCAGCATCAGGTTCCAACAAATTCACCCGTACAACCCTATTCACTTCACGCAACCGGTATATTCGCTTTGAGATATTAATCTTTGGAAAAAACTGTAACTTTCATATTCCTAAAGAAATCGGCTTATGAGCCCTATTTACGTGAACAGATTCTGCATCGTATTTAGTGATAATCGAATCCAAACTAAGAATTTTGCTTCAGTGATTGGAATTTGGCATTTAATTTGAGTTTGTTGGATTAAAATTTTATTTAGCATTCAGAGGTGTATGTTTTAGACAGGATAATCTACCAGTAAATTATTATGTAGTGAACATGAATTTTAGATAAGAATTGAAGAAGATTTCGAGAAAATTTTAAAAGATTTCGAGAAGTTTTCAAAAGAATTTTAAAAAGATTTCGAGAAGATTGCTAGAAGAATCCAAGAAGATTTCAACAGGATTTCAAGAAAATTTCAACAAGAGTTTAATTAGACTTTAAGAAGACTTTAAAAATATGTTATGATTTCAAGATCTTAAGATTTCAACAAGATTTCGGACGATTTCAAGAGTATTTTAAGAAGATTCCAACAAGATATCATGATTTCAAGATTTTAAGAAGCTTTCAAGAAAATTTTAAGAAAATCTGAAGGTCATTTCAAGAGAATTTTAAGAGGATTTTAAAAAGATTTAAAGAAGCTTTCGAGAAGATTTTAACATTTCAACAAGATTTCACGATTTCAAGATTTTAAGATTTCAAGAAGATTTTGAGATGTTAAGAAGATTTCAAGAAGATTTTAAGAAGATTCCAGGTAGATTTTAAGAAGATTTCAAGAAGATTGATTTCAAGAACATTTCAAGAAAATTTCAAGAAGATTTCAAAAGGATTTCAAGAAAATTTCAAGAAGATTCTAAGAGGATTTCAAGAAGGTTTTAAGATTTCAAAAGATTTCAAGAAGATTTCGAGGAGATTTTAAGAAGATTTCAAGAAGATTGTAAGAGGATTTCAAGATTTCAAGAAGAATCTAAGATTTCAAAAAGTTTTCAATAAGATTCCAAGAAGATTTCGAGATTTCTAAAAGATTTTAAGAGGATTTTAAGAAAGTTTCAAAAAGATTTCAAGAGGATTTCAAGAATCCTTCAAGGCGATTTCAAGAAGATTTTCAAAGCTATTTCAAGAAAATTTAAAGAAAATTTTGAAAAGATTCCAAGCAGATTAGAAGACTTCAAGATGATTTAAAGAAGATTTCAAGCATATTTCAAGAAGATTTCAAGAATATTTCAAGAGATTCGGAGAAGATTGCGAGAAGACTTCGAGAAAATTTTAAGGAGATTTTAAGATATCAATAGGATTTCAATGAGACTTCAAAAAGATTTCAAGAAGATTTCAGAAAGATTTCAAGCAGATTTCAAAAACATTTGAAGAAAATTTTAAGAATATTGCAAGAAGATTTCAAGAAGCTTTTAGGATTTTAAGATTTCAAAAAGTTTTCAATAAGATTCCAAGAAGATTTCGAGAAGATTTCTAGTAGATTTTAAGAGGATTTTAAGAAAATTTCAAAAAGATTTCAAGAGGATTTCAAGAATCCTTTAAGGCGATTTCAAGAAGATTTTCAAGGCTATTTCAAGAAAATTTCAGGAAAATTTTAAAAAGATTCCAAGGAGATTAGAAGATTTCAAGAAGATTTCAAGAAGAATTCAAGAAGATTTCAAGAAAATTTCAAGAATATTTCAAGAGATTCAGAGAAGATTGCGAGAAGACTTCGAGAAAATTTTAAGAAGATTTCAAGAGCATTTTAAGGAGACTTCAGAAAGATTTCAAGCAGATTTCAAGAACATTACATAAAAATTTTAAGAATATTGCAAGAAGATTTCAAGAAGCTTTTATGATTTTAAGATTTCAAAAAGATTTCAATAAGATTCCAAGAAGATTTCGAGCAGATTTCTAGAAGATTTTAAGAAAATTTCAAAAAGCAAGAGGATTTCAAGAGAATTTCAAGAGGATTTCAAGGAGACTTCATGAAGATTTTAAGAAGATTTCAAGGGGATTGCATGATAATTTCAAGAGCATTTCAATAAGATTTCAAGATTTCAGGCAGATTTTAACAACATTTCAAGAACAATTTCAACAACAAAACAACAACAACAAAAAGGTGAGAAATTGATGAGGGCAGAGGAGGATACTAAAAAATTATCAAAATCCTCGTGTGAGATCGAAGGGCGACTTCGTATACTTATTTTGAAGACGGGAGACTCTTAAGAGGGCGAATATTTTCAAGCTTTGATTTCCCCATTTTAATTTTAACCCAAAAACGAGCACATTACGTCTGTCTTGTTCGAAGGATGTATTGTTCCATTTTTTGGGAAACGTGTTGTATATTGGTGTCTATCTTGTTCTTTTGATATTAACAAATATGGAGTAAATGGGACACCCTGTGCATTTCCCCTTCACAGTAGGTAGTTGTTTGAGTTACAGGGTAAGTAAGTTGTTAATATTGACATGCACGCCATCTACTTGAAATTGTAATTCTTTCCAGTATAATAACCGGCATTCCCTATAAATTGTATGGTGTGTGAATAAAATAATATAACACGCAAGGTTGCACTTGATATTATTATTAGTAATGTATAATTTAATTTTTTTTAAAAACAGGTTGAATGTGACAGTCGACTCATATAAAAATATGTAATTATTCAACTCACCGGTCGCCTGTTGGAGTAGATACCTCAACCACGTGTTGCCGCTTCCCGGAAACGAAGCTAGGGCGATCGGCGGTTTCGGCGGTTCCCTAAATTGCAGGCTCGCACACCAGTCGATCTTGAAGCGTTTCGACGAACGATAACTCGAAACGCCATACTCGTAGTTTTTCGATTTGGAAACCTGCCTATGGTCGGACGTCGACTGAAACGGCACCATATTTGTAAGACTCGAAGGATTTGAGTTTCCAAAACCCACCTTGAATACCTTACCGCCCTCCTTGGGCTCGTGAAGCGTAACGGCCGACAAGAGCAAAACGCCGGCGAGATAAAGTATCAGAAGGAATCCCAAAATCCATAGTCGGATTTTCGACATCTGCGTTTGTCCATTGCGCTGTCTTGTCTTGTAAAGGCTGGGCTTGTATTTTCTGGTAATTTTGTTGGTCTGGGTGTTTTACGTACTTAATCCTTTTGTGGAGCTTCCCTTCTTCGGACGGCGGTGAGTTAACTTACGGGTCGCTGCAGAGTAACTTTTCATTTTACACCTGCAATTTAAATATGTAAGTATTTACAAAGAGTGTTGGAAGTGACTCATTTCACTTATGTGACTCGAGGTGTAGCCGAGTGGGACAAAATCCCAATCAGTGGCAGAACGTATAATGATGTCGTTTAAAAAAAATTGACTTACGCTTACTACGTTTATGTTACGAACGTATAGGGCTCTCATTTCAAAACGAACCATCGATACTAATTTGTAATTTGGACAAAAAAACCGTAGTGACCTACCCCTACAGTTAGGCAACACATCTTACAGCGGTAAATGGTGTCCGGATACAGCACTAACCGATCAAGTGCGTAAGAAAAGTCGGTAGCGCCAGTCTGGCGAGAGATAAGATAGAAATAATGAGTTACACGTGTTCGTGTCTGACGAGTGGGATCCGTTTCGTGAGGCAGGCCGAGAACCGCTTACGCTGAGAGTTCTGACAGAACATGAGTACAAAAAAATGCTGACGTTTTTGACTAATTGTGGGATTGAGTAGGTAGGAGTTCAAGTTTTATTGATTGAACAAATAAAGATGGCCGATTAGCAACCATTACGAAGGCGTATTTGTAAAATTGGGAATAGTGGGGATTAAGCCGAGAGTAGTCATTAAGGCACACGCGATGACAGAAAACTAAATTCAGCGATGGACCGGGAACGTCTTAGGTGCTCGGCTGGTACTAACTGTAACCAGAAAATGAAATTAGATGTTTGGCTACGGAAGCGTCAAGGACACATTCCGAAATATCTTGTTACGACGGTCCTAAAATGCTAAGTGCAAAGAGCTACAGAAGAGATCACCATAATAATAAAAAATGATCCAAGCCCTCGTGTGAGATCGAGGGGACTTTAGCGCATTTTTGTGTGACAGATCAGTATTCTATTAGCCAGTTTCGACTTCATCGTCAATAAGATCTTATCGGGGACTACCGCATTCCCTATGTCGGTACCCGCTTCCGACCTCTCGTTCAATCGCACTTCGCATTTTGGTGGATTTCGCTAAAAACCCTCCAATTGGGCACTTTTTGTAGCTCGTGTTTCTATTCGCGACACGAAGAAGAGAGACGGCGATTCATGATAAGAGATTCTTCAGATTCTTTGAATTCTTTTGTTTCACTTGATTCTTTGAATTTTTCGGATTCTTGATCAAATTCATTAAATTCTTCAAATTATTCCGATTCCTTGGGATATTTTTCAGATTCTTCAGATTCTTTCAGATTCTTCAGATTCTTCAGATTCTTTCTTCAGATTCTTTAGATATTTCTTCAGATTCTTCAGATTCTTCAGATTCTTCAGATTCTTCAGATTCTTCAGATTCTTCAGATTCTTCAGATTCTTCATTTTTCAGATTCTTCAGATTCTTCAGATTCTTCAGATTCTTCAGATTCTTCAGATTCTTCAGATTCTTCAGATTCTTCAGATTCTTCAGATTCTTCAGATTCTTCAGATTCTTTACAGATTCTTCAGGTCCTTCATCAGAGGATCTTCAGATTCTACAGATTCGTCAGATTTTTCGGATACCTCAGGTTCCCTCAGATTCCTCAGATTCAGATTTCGATTCTTCAGATTTTTCAGATTCTTCAGATTCAGATTTTTTTTTTCAGATTCTTCAGATTCTTCAGGTTCTTTCTTCAGGTTCTTCAGATTCTTCAGATTCTTCGGATTCTTCAGATTCGTCAGATTCTTCAGATTCTTCCAACAGCAGATTCTTTGAATTCTTTTGTTTCACTTGATTCTTTGAATTTTTCGGATTATTGATCAGATTCATTAAATTCTTCAAATTATTCAGATTCTTTGGGATATTTTTCAGATTCTTCAGATTTTTCAGATTCTTCAGATCCTTTAGATCCTCAGTTTCCTCAGATTCTTCAGATTATCGTTAGATTCCCATGATTCCTCAGATTCCTCAGTTTCCTCATATTCCACAGATTGTTCAGACTCCTCCGATTCCTCAGATTCTTCAAACTGCAGATTCTTCGAATTTTTTGGTTTCATTTGATTCTTTGAATTTTTCGGATTATTCATTAGATACATTAAATTCTTCAAATTATTCGGGTTCTTAAGGCTATTCAGATTCTTTGGATTATTTTTCAGATTCTTCAGTCTTCAGGATCCTCAGATTTTTAGATTAAGGTTATTCCGGTTTTTTGAATTCTTCAGATTCCTTCTTTTGATTTCTCGAATGTCTGGCATTCATCAAATTCTTCGGATTCTTAAATTTCATCTAATTTTTAGATCTAATCACTAATCAGTATCATTCGTATACTCCTACGAATGAAATCGTCGTATTCTGGGGGGGGGGCATTCCATACCCCAGTTACATATTTTCAATCAAGACACCACTTGTCTTGTTTTTAGCATTCTGCGTGTCTGTCTGTAGGTCTGTCTGCCGGTGTCTGTCTGTCTGTCTGTAGGTCTGTCTGTCGGTCTGTCTGTAGATCTATATGTAGGTCTGTCTGTCGGTGTGCTTCTTGGTCTATCTGGAACAAAATTTGGAACACGTACTTTTAGACATAACAGAAAGAACTGGCGTAGTTCAGTAAAAACTGCACTGTGGTGCTAAGGGTCCCTGGTTCGAATCCGGGTTCGGCCATGCACATTTTGTAAATGTATAGTGGGTTGAAATCCCGCCCACTTAAAAATAAAGACAACATAAAAAAACTGAAAAAACTTTGAGCAGAATCGCGCATGCGCAGGTGTGCGGGTAGTATGAAATGAGAATCCTTAGGGTTGGTAGTTGTAAGGTGGGTTGCATTTCCGGGGGGTCTAACACCTTCCAGCTGCAAGATGATCTTATTTCTGTACAATCATCATCATTAATCATTCGTACACTCCTACGAATGTAAACATCATATAATACTGGGGGGGGGGGGGGCCTCAGATATTATACTTCCAACAGGCGTACTCGCCCATGCATTTTGGAAAGGGATATGGTATGGAATACTGGTCAAGAATGGAAATGAAAGGTAAAAATGACTCCCCCCCCTCACCACTTTCTTACGGAAATACACATTTTGAAGCACCGAGAATCCGAATCAAACAAACTCTCGATGACGTCGGCCTGTGTTTTCAATTCCGGCCGCGGGGAGTAAGTATTTGTGCTAGCCACAGAGTTCTTAGGGGTGAGATTCGGGGGGGGGGGGGGAGTTATGGAATACCCCTCACCCACAAATACTTTATAGTAAAAAGTTACCCCTACTCTTTTGACGGAAATGCACGTTTTCAAGCACCATAACATGTACGGTCATTGACAAAAGTAATGATCCTCTAAAAGGTAAACTCTGTACCATAAGCAACATACTTGCGTATCACGTCGGGCTCCGCCTGTTCAGGCCCGTAGCCAGAATGAAGTGGCCGGTATTTTTCTAGGTGGGGCTTAAGAAATTTTTGATAAAGGCTTCCCCAGTAATTGTTGTAAAGGAACCATCAACCGTAATTTCCAGTGGGGCGAAGGCCACCTCCTAGCTACGGGCCTACATCTGTTTCTTCAAGTAGGAGATACCTTTATTTGTTGGCTCGCATTTTCAAGTTGCACAATGTATTCAAATGTTGCTGTACGATTTACCTATTCCGCGATCATTACCTTTGTCAAAGACTGTACATGAGTAAAAGTAAGTATGCTACACATACATAACAGTACGTCTAATGTACGTACAGCAAAGTACGTGCCTAGCACGTACAAAGTAGTGCGAATATAACGTAGCATGTACAGTGAAATGTACCTCCATTGAAGTAAATCCAGCGCTGTACGTACTATGTATTTGCAATGTACGTACTTGTGTTATTTGTAATAATAATAAGAATTCCTTATAATAAACATAACCGTAAGCTGAGAAATAGTAGTTTCGCATTTGCGGCAAGTACCGTCCCGGAATGCCTCATTCCACAAGTGGGATATTTATGTAGTAATGAAATTGTTTGGAGAAATTCCGCAATAACGAAATTATGCCAACAATGTAAGCGACCCCGAATATCTTTGTGCATACTTGGACGGACTTGGATTGCGGCGGGTTATTGCGTAATTTGTTACAAAACTTGAAAGGATTCGCATCTTTGTCACTTTGTGCAATCAATACGCTCATCCTCAGGTAAATTACGGAATGTAATTGGCAAATTTGCTGGCGATTAAGTACAGAAACTTCGCCCCGTTCCCCTAATCAGTTAAGCGATTGTTATCAAAACATCGCCCTCGCGTGTGCGTGTGCAGGGCAAGAACAAATTTGTAAAGGGGAGCACGTTCGCGTGACGCCCGAAATGTGGGTGTACAAAATGATTTTAAACGCGTGAGATTTACAAAAATCGAATTCCATTTTTCCGTGCGAGCGGAACTCACCTTTTATAAATTGCGTAGGCCAAAGTGAACACAATTAACTAAACATTTTCCAGCACCGTTTTCTTGACGTTTGTAAAGGGGCGGCGCGCGTATACCTACACCCTTACCGCCGCCGATTTCGCAACTGGAGCTAGCGAGCTCGAGATAAAATGCAAGGGCGTCGACACAGCCCCTCTGCGCTGCTCTTGATTTTGAAATTGGGCGTCCTAGGCGTCTATCAGCGACCCCCAAACTGTTATTACTTTAAATCGTGTCGATTTAAACTGAGATGGATAATTATGCAATTTTGCGCCCTTGTAAAAAACCTTGTGAGAAAGTGGATTGACTCTGTCAGATTTACGGAGCCGCGGACTTCTTCAGAAACTTATTTTTTATAAAAAACAAATTGCGCTTTAGTGGCCGACGATATGATAGTGATAATCCCTTAAAAGAACGATAACCTTACCGCCTCCCCTGGGAGGTAGGGTGTACTGTTGTAATAAAACAATGCAGATATTCAGGGTTCTGGACTCCACACATAATTTCAATTTTTCCAGAAAACCGAAAAAATACAATTCACGGTAACGGAAATTAGCAGAAAGGCGCGAGAGATACCGTGGGAAAGGTTTAGGTTGGGTTAGGTTCAAGGTCAGGCTTAGGGTAAGTTATGTTAGGTTCAAGGTCAGGTTTGGCCTAGGTTAGGTTCAAGGTTAGGTTTAAAGTAGGTTGGGTTAGACTGAAGATTGCGTCCCAAAATGTTCACTTAGGGATCTCAAATATTTATCAAACTAGACCCTGAAAGTGACTCATGTTCTAAGTTTGAAATTTTTAACAATCGTTAACTATAACTCGATAACGTACAAAGTACGTACATGGTACGCTGACAAATAAAACATCAATTTGAAGGTAAGAACAATGCGTCATTTTGTATTTTATCCTTTATTTATGAATTTGATGGATGTGGTGTTTTTGAAGTTCATTAGATTAGGGATTCATTGCTTTCCATGGCGTCCGGTGATCGTTAAAATTTGAAAGCTATTAATTTAACAATGTAATGTAGAAATTCATAACCGTCTCGCTACGATCGTATATTATCGGCAAAAATTTTCATGGAAAGCTATACACAATCACGCTGTTGTTTAATAGTAAGTTATCTGAACCGCAAAAATACTTCACAAATAACACAAGTACGTACATTGCAAATATACGAGTTATAGTACGTACAGTGCTGGATTTACGTACGTACATTTCACGTACATGGTACGTTATTTTTGCACTACAGTGTACATCTTAAGTACCTATAGTAGTTTACTGTACGCACTATGTACGTGAGCAAAAGTAAGTATCTTATACATGCATAACAGTACGTCTAATGTACGTAGAGCAAAGTACGTGCCTAGTACGAACAAAGTAGTGCAAAAATAACGTACCATGTACGTGAAGTCTACATACATGCACCGTAAGTCTACGTGAAATGTACCGGGTGGCCGTTCCTCGGCCATATCTCGGGAACCGTTCGTCGTATGACTTAGGGGTAAAAAAAATATTGGGTAAATCGATCATGAAGAATTGCTGGAAAATATTTTCAAGTTCTAAAAATGACCACCAGAGGACGTAACTGCCATCTTAAATTTTAAAATTGCATTTTCTTTAAATTTCGCATAATAAACTAAACAATTTTTTTCACATTTTTAAAGAGAACCAGTTCATTTTCGTAAAAACAAAAACTCAGTTATTTCAAAAACAAAGATGGCGTGGGGCGTTCAATTGTTTTTGCAATAACCTGCTTTAACTTCTTAACTGTTTGACCGATTTTAATAAATTTGGTATCCTTGAAAAAAGCATTCCTTGGGCAATAAGAATCAATATAGGTAATTTCGTTATCCTTCTCCGCCAGGGGGTTAGTTTTGACACCATGACCCAAAATCCTAAAAAAATCAATAAAATCAAATGGAATGATATGACTTTTTCTTTATGAAACAGTAGCCAAATAACATCCAAAGAGGCTAGTCAGCACCGATTTTCAAAATCTCGTTCCTAACCTCAAATATTGGGAAAATGAGATTAATTAATAAATAAAAATGCTTAAGTGAATTGTATCTTAAATTTACTTTTGACTTATTTCCGGTATTTGTCGATGGCATGAAAGTTTGTTTGGAAAACGCCCTCTGGTGGTCATTTTTAGAATATTTTCCAGCGATTCTTCATGGCCGATTTACCCAATAATTTTTTTACCCCCAAGTCATACGACGAACGGTTCCCGAGATATGGCCGAGAAACAGTCTTATTGGGTCACCCGGTACCTATGTCCGTAAATTCAGCGCTGTACCTACGTACTTTGTCCAAAAGTAGCGTGAGCTAGTTTTGAGTTTGAGAAACGACTGCGTGAACGGTGAGTCCAATATTCAATTTTGAAGTGTATCGTGATTATTGGATGCGCCATAAGCGAAAATTAGTAGAGATTTGTTTTTAACACCTGATGCCAGTATAGGCAACAACGTTGCCGAGGGAAAGGTGTTCATAATCCGCGATTAATATCCGTGTAAAGAAAAACTCTTTTCTTTAGTGATAATGTTATATTTTTTCATGAAAATCTAAAAAAAACTAAAAATGTTTACGCTCACACCCTCCGTAACTCTGGAACGGTTTACTTTAGCAAGATTATACACCAGATCATTTTTGTTCGCAATCTACTGTAGATTATTTTTGTATACGTCACTTTTGGCGCCAAGTCCCATATTTTTCTAAATGTTTAAGAAAAACTGATAAAAATTACTTATTTTCCAACTTTCCTCCCCTCTCACACCCAAACCCGACGCTTAAAATGGTGTAACTTTTTACAAAACAATATGTGAACTGTATAATTTGGAGCGGGATAGAAACTGTTACTTTGGATGTTGAGGTGTGGGTCTAATTGCACTGTACAGGGTGGCCAACTAAGAATGCGAGGTACTGTATCTGAGAACCTATCCATCGTAGAGGTTTGCGGTAAAGAAAGTTATTACTAATGGTTGGTTTATGCAACGATATTTTAATTTAATTTAATCATCTTACTTAATTTTAATTCAATTTAATTTATTTTTAAATGTATGGGTTTATGCAAGTTATTTAATTTCATAAATATCTAGTTGGTAACGTTTTAGTAACATTACAGTTTGCAACGTTGACTATACGATCCTCGGTTTAGTGTCGTATTTATTCGCATTTACGAAGGTAAGGGCGCTTCGATTTTCACGTAAGAATTTATAGAGATAAAAGTTGGTTATCTCTTAAATTAAATTAAATTCTTAAGTTAAATTAAATGTTTGCATAATTATCTTGGTAAAATCCTTATGTTGCAACTCGTACATTAAATTAATTCAAATTAAATTAAACAGTCTTGCATAAACCCACCATAAAACGTCCACGAGAAAAACCTGGAAAATATTTTTAAGTTTCTGAAATGGCCGCTAGGGGGCGTAACTGCAATCTGTAATCTAAAAAAGTGATGTTTCTGTGAATTCCGCTACATTAACCTAACAAAAAAATGCCCGGTCTTTGAAGTCGACGATAATGTGAACTTTTTTTGTTTGAAAACTTTTGCTGTATCACTAAAAATGAAGTGGTGGGGGGTATTCAAAGGTTTCCGTAATGACCACCCTGTATCTTCCAAACGGCTAAGCCGATTTAAACAAACTCGGGTTCAAAGAGTTCAAAAGAGCTATTCTTAAGCTACAAATATTATAATTTTTGAAGTTTTGTTAGTTTCACATATCACCGCTTGAGGGCTTTTTTCGACATTCCGACAGAAATGATTAATTGGTTCAATTTTTTTTCATGAAAGGTAGTTAAATGATGACGAAACAAGCTCGGAAAACTGCATCTCGATATCTTGAGAGAGAGAGAGCGAGCATTTACTAGTATACGGACCGTGATTACGGCGGCTTCCTTTTTTAAATCGATCCACTTTAGGGCCACAAATTATAAATAAAAATAAATCCTGGAAAAATTAGCTTAAAAAAATAAAAATTTGAGGAGATAAAATTTTCTTTGGCCTAAATTTTAGTTTAGGAACAAGATATCGAGATGCGGTTTTCGCGAGGTTGTTTAGGCATCATTTAGCTACTTTTTCATGCAAAAAACAAACCAACGCATTCAATTTTTTTGAGAAAATTAACAATTTCTGTCGGAATGTCGAAAAAAGCCCTCAAGCGGCGATATGTGAAACTAACAAAACTTCAAATATTATAATACTTGTAGCCGAAGAATAACTCTTTTCAATTAACTCGAGTTTGTTAAAATCGGCTCAGCCGTTTCGAAGATACAAGGTGTTCTTTACGGAAACTTTCGAATACCCCCCTCCACTTCATTTTTAGAGATACAGCAATAATTTTCAAACAAAAAAAGTTTAGATCATCGTCGCCTTCAAAGACCGGGCATTTTTTTTATTAGAATCACTTTCTTAGATTCCAGATTGCAGTTACGCCCCCTAGCGGCCATTTCAGAAACTTAAAAATATTTTCCAGGTTTTGCTCGTGGCCGTTTTAGTAATAACTTTTTTACCGCAAGCCTTTGCGATGGATAGGTTCTCAGATACAGTACCTCGCATTCTTAGTTGGCCATCCTGTACAATGCAATTAGACCCACACCTCAACATCCAAAGTAACAGTTTCTATCTCGCTCCAAATTGTTCTATACAGTTCACATATTGTTCCGTAAAAAGTTACACCATTTTAGGCGTCGGGTTTGGGTGTGAGGGGGGAGGAAAGTTGGAAAATAAGTAGTTTTTATCAGTTTTTCTTAAATATTTAGGAAATTATGGGATTTGGCGCGAAAAGTGACGTATACAAAAATAATCTACAGTAAATTGCAAACAAAAATGGTCTTATGTATAATCTTGCTAAAGTGAACCGTTTCAGAGTTACGGAGGGTGTAAGAGTAAAAATCTTTAGTTTTTTTAGATTTTCATGAAAAAATATAACATTATCACTAAGAAAACTTATTTTTTTGTAAAAACAAATTGCGCTTTTGGGCGGATGATATGTTAGTGATAAGCCCCTAAATGAACGATAACCTTACCGCCTCCCCAAGGGGCGCAGGGGCGCTATGAGGGAAAGTAATATTCTTGGAGAGCTGCGGGATGTACTGGTGTAATAAAACAATTCAGATCTGCAGGGTTCTTGACTCCAAACATAATTTCAT